GCACTTTTCACACCAAAGTACATTCATCTCTAGGAGATAGAACGCGTCTCCTTCCTGAGTGGTATGATGGCTGCGTGGTCCCATGGTGTTTATACTTGCATACTAATGTTTGTACAGATGAACATGGTACCTTCAGGCATTTGGAAATTGCTCCCAAGGATGAACCAGACTTGTGGAGGTCTACAATTTTCTTTCTGAGGTCTTGGCTGATTTCGTTTGATTTTCCCATGATGTCAAGCAAAGAGGCACTGAGTTTGAAGGTAAGCCTTGAAATACATCCACAGGTACACCTCCAATTGACTCAAATGATGTCAATTAGCCCATCAGAAGCTTCTAAAGCCATGACATCATTTTATGGACCTAAGTGTATGTAAACTTCCGACTTCAACTGTATATTAGTATAAGAACAAACTCCAGTTAATCTATTAGGGAGAGATGCACTATGTAGAATGGGCATCCAAATTAAATGCACATCAGAGGGACTAATAATAGATCAGGAAGGTGTACGCCCACAGATGATGATGGCTACAGACAAAACTTCAAATGTATACTGGATAGGAAACATAGAATTACCAGTACAAGAGGTACTAAAGAAGTGGGGGAAATTTATCAGGGCTCAAGATCCAGAAATTAAGTTACCAAAATTAGGCTATCATTGTACACTGCAATATGACCCATATCAAAATCAGTTGCTAGAACAACTATGGTTGAGGAAGGCATGTGGTAATTGTCCATTTGGAAGTCCCATTTGCGATCAATCTTTAACTTCCTGACTGATGTCTTGAGATGTTGCTTCAATATATCCACATAATTTTCCTTCCTCATGATGCCATCTATTTTGTGAAGTACACCAGTCCCTCCTGCAGCAAAGCACCCCACAGCATGATGCTGCCGCCCCAGCATTAGGGACTCCAGACTACACAAAACCTTTCTTACTGTATGTAGCAAACCTCTGTCAGGGATTTGCAACAGCAGTGTTGATGCAAGAAACCTGTGCAGGAGAAGAAAGCAGCCAATAGCATTCTATAGCTCTAAATTAGATTCAGTAACACAAGGGCATCCACCATGTTATCAGGGATTGACAGCTGTACAGTATGCATATGACAAAGCATCCACAATCACAATGGGGTACCCAGTGGTGATCTATACTCATCATAAAATAACTGAGTTGATTGAGCAAGGAACATTTGTACTGACCAGAATATTGGAGCATTTGACACTATTGACCTATCCAAATGTCACCATAAAACGATGTACTACAGTTAACCCAGCAGAAAGGATGCCAATAGAAACTGAAGGCGAACCACATGACTGTGTAGCAGAGTCCTTGGTGTTCACTAAATTGAGACCTAATTTGTTGTCAATTCCAATCCTGGGAGCTACAGAGGAATTGTTTGTAGATGGGTCTTGCTTTAGAGACAATGATGGTAATTATGCTGGTTATGCATAAGTAAGGAAAGGACCAGACGACCAATTCTACACCATGGAGAGTGAAAGTTTTGACCAAACATGTTCTGCTCAACTAGCAGAGCTAAGAGCATTAACGGCAGCATGTAACCTAGGAAGGGATAAAGTGTCAGAATGTGTGCTGTGAAGGTGTGGTGCAGGAATCAAGCGCAGGACGCAGGACATTAGTCCAATAGACTTTAGTGAACCAAAACTCAAAACGAGTCAAAAGAGCTTGGAATACGAGCGATTACGCACACAGGCGTAAAATCAAACAAAATAACAATAACGCACAAACACGTGCGAGAACCTCTCCAACACAGAGGAGAGAACGAAGCACAGACAAACACGACAGCAAGTGCAATCACACACAACACATGACAAACACAACGAGAACTTATAGGACAATAATGAACGTTAAACAATAACAGGTGTACAACATCAAGACAAAACCAAACGAACATCGAAACATACAACGGTGGCAGCTAGTACTCCGGAGACGACGACCGCCGAAGCCTGCCCGAGCAAGGAAGAGAGGCAGCCTCGGCCGAAACCGTGACAGTACCCCCCCCCCCCCCCCCCCCCTTGACGCGCGGCTCCAGCCGTGCGCCGACCCCCGGCCTCGGGGACGACCAGGAGGACGCGGAGCAGGGCGCGTCGGGTGACTACGGTGGAATTCTGTCAGGAGAGACGGGTCCAAAATGTCTCTCCTCGGCACCCAGCACCGTTCCTCCGGGCCGTACCCTACTCAAATATTTACTTTTGTGAGATACTGTATATACTGAGATCATGTGGCACTTAGATTGCACAAAGGTGGACTTTATTTAACTAATTATGTGACTTCTGAAGGTAATTGGTTGCACCAGATCTTATTTAGGGGCTTCATAGCAAAGGGGGTGAATACATATGCACGCACCACATTTCTGTTCTTTATTTTTTTGAATCTTTTGAAGGTAATTGGTTGCACAAGATCTTATCAAGTTATCAAGTAATTTTTTTATTTCACTTCACCAATTCCATTACATGAAATCCAAATAAAAATCCACTTAAATTACAGGTTGTAATGCAACAAAATAGGAAAAACGCCAAGGGGATGAATACTTTTGCAAAGCACTGTAGATCACAAGGCCTGGAGTTCAACCTCTGAAAGCATATTGTTATCCCTGGAGTCAAACACCTATCAAGGAGAGCGTTGGTTTATACCCTCAAATGGCTCCAAGTTATCTTTTAAATTATATGAGTTTCTGGTTACACTCACTCCAAATAAAACATCATGCTGCTGTAGGCTAGATTTGAGCATCTATCTAAAGTGGTAACCATCCAATGTTTGTGACAGATCTATCACCTGCCAAATGTAACCCCTGCACATAAAACCCCTGCTTCCCTCTATCAGGTGGAGGTGACACATGACAATGTGGGCAGACTCCAGCTGTTCGGGGATGATGATCCACCTTGTACTCTGCCGGCTCAGCACATGTCTGCAGCTGAAACTCATTGTTGATACCCTACAGAGAAACTTTCAGAGCTGCTGTGTTTGGTTGATGTTATATAGGCTACAGTATTGTGTTACATAAAATGTAATATGTTTTCACAGTGGTGGCCCTGAACTTGCATGGAAAGTGGTGGTCTTTAAATTATGTTTTGAAGACATCCAGCAAATCCAGATCTGGTCATGTGATGGTACGTTATTTTCATTTGCACTTACAGTGGGGAAAAAAAGTATTTAGTCAGCCACCAATTGTGCAAGTTCTCCCATTTAAAAAGATGAGAGAGGCCTGTAATTTTCATCATAGGTACACGTCAACTATGACAGACAAAATTAGGGGAAAAAATCCAGAAAATCACATTGTAGGATTTTTAATGATTTTATTTGCAAATTATGGTGGAAAATAAGTATTTGGTCAATAACAAAAGTTTCTCAATACTTTGTTATATGCCCTTTGTTGGCAATGACACAGGTCAAACGTTTTCTGTAAGTCTTCACAAGGTTTTCACACACTGTTGCTGGTATTTTGGCCCATTCCTCCATGCAGATCAGTGATGTTTTGGGGCTGTCGCTGGGCAACACGGACTTTCAACTCCCTCCAAAGATTTTCTATGGGGTTGAGATCTGGAGACTGGCTAGGCCACTCCAGGACCTTGAAATGCTTCTTACGAAGCCACTCCTTCGTTGCCCGGGCGGTGTGTTTGGGATCATTGTCATGCTGAAAGACCCAGCCACATTTCATCTTCAATGCCCTTGCTGATGGAAGGAGGTTTTCACTCAAAATCTCACGATACATGGCCCCATTCATTCTTTCCTTTACACGGATCAGTCGTCCTGGTCCCTTTGCAGAAAAACAGCCCCAAAGCATGATGTTTCCACCCCCATGCTTCACAGTAGGTATGGTGTTCTTTGGATGCAACTCAGCATTCTTTGTCCTCCAAACACGACGAGTTGAGTTTTTACCAAAAAGGTATATTTTGGTTTCATCTGACCATATGACATTCTCCCAATCCTCTTCTGGATCATCCAAATGCACTCTAGCAAACTTCAGACGGGCCTGGACATGTACTGGCTTAAGCAGGGGGACACGTCTGGCACTGCAGGATTTGAGTCCCTGGCGGCATAGTGTGTTACTGATGGTAGGCTTTGTTACTTTGGTCCCAGCTCTCTGCAGGTCATTCACTAGGTCCCCCCGTGTGGTTCTGGGATTTTTGCTCACCGTTCTTGTGATCATTTTGACCCCACGGGGTGAGATCTTGCGTGGAGCTCCAGATCGAGGGAGATTATCAGTGGTCTTGTATGTCTTCCATTTCCTAATAATTGCTCCCACAGTTGATTTCTTCAAACCAAGCTGCTTACCTATTGCAGATTCAGTCTTCCCAGCCTGGTGCAGGTCTACAATTTTGTTTCTGGTGTCCTTTGACAGCTCTTTGGTCTTGGCCATAGTGGAGTTTGGAGTGTGACTGTTTGAGGTTGTGGACAGGTGTCTTTTATACTGATAACAAGTTCAAACAGGTGCCATTAATACAGGTAACAAGTGGAGGACAGAGGAGCCTCTTAAAGAAGAAGTTACAGGTCTGTGAGAGCCAGAAATCTTGCTTGTTTGTAGATGACCAAATACTTATTTTCCACCATAATTTGCAAATAAATTCATTAAAAATCCAACAATGTGATTTTCTGGAAAAAAAATTCTCAATTTGTCTGTTATAGTTGACGTGTACCTATGATGAAAATTACAGGCCTCTCTCATCTTTTTAAGTGGGAGAACTTGCACAATTGGTGGTTGACTAAATACTTTTTTTCCCCACTGTATGTCCTCCATGGTAAGTAATTGGCAATAGCATCACTAAATATAGGACTATACCATGACTTCACATTACCTTCATGTTTAGATGGGATAGGTGCACATACATTAAATATAATACAGTAAATGCTATGTTTTTACATGGTTATTACATCTACAGTGTTTATTATTACATGTAATAACATGCAAAGACCCCTCCATACCCTTTGAAAATCAAAACCATTAACTTATGCTCATGTTTACACAAAAGGCTCTGTCTTGTACATGTTGAATTTGGGTGAGTCAGAATTAGGGGAACATGTCACATTCAAGTCAATAATTTAAAAAGCTAAACAGTGTAGGGAGGAATGTATTTTTCTCTTGCATATTTTTTTGATCATTTGGTCAAAGCAACAAAATGTATAATTGGCTCTTTCAGGAAGTCTGTGTGATGGATGCAGTAGTCAAAGCTATCAGCTTCCTGTTCTTGGCACTGTGTTTGTGAAGACTCATTGGAGGAGAAGAGGTCTGGCACTGCAGATCCTGACAGACTTATACATCCTTCCCCAACGAGGAAGTGATAGGAATCAGCTGTACCATATCCCCAAGCATGATTAAAGGTGGGTCAGTATTAGAAATTCAAAGTTCAATTATGTAAATGCTGGTTGTACCATGGAAAGATCGCTGAATTTATATTAGGACACAGTCAGGCAGTGACGTGTATTCATGGATGCCAAGGGGAGCCAGGCTTACCCAAATATTTGACCAATAAATACATTAAAATATACAATAATTTCTCTTTGGTCTGTGTCTGTGTTCTCTTAATTTATTTGTCCATTTGCAAGTGGCTGAATCTCACCGGAGAATTCATCTATCTGAGCAAGGGAAACGGCGCCCCTCGGTCTCAGTAGGCTATGTGTAGCCCATGTATCTGATGCTGTCTGGACCAAAAGAGTATAACATGTTGCCACGGTAGCATTTAATTGAGTGATGCCAGCAAGCATTTGACCTCCCTTGATAACGTGAGAGAAAAAAGAATAAACTCACACAATGCTCTTGCTAGTCTCACTTCTCTTTATTAAGCTTTACGTATCGGCCTAAAGGCCTTCGTCAGAGCTTTTATGAGTGTTTTTCATTTTCACCCTTATGTAGGCATTGTAGCCTCCCGTGCAGCAAAACTCCCCACAAGGGAGGCCAGTTTGGATTTGGCTTCAGACCATTCAAATCACTTCCTTTGCAAAATGTCATTTTCAGAAAAACGTGTCTGTTTCTGGTCTGCTAGTGTTTTCTAAACCATGGATGGAGATGGGGATTTGGACTTCTGGTTTTGACTTAATTCTTTGTACTATACATGAATATGTTGTGCCACTGGCCTGAGACGATTAAACTTAAATATGTAGCCTAGATGTAGCCTAGTAGGCTCACATAAACTAGTTAGCTAGTTAACTTAGCTGGTTCATTGCTGCCCATGCGAGGAAGTCAGGCTAGAAAGCACTTTAGCTAGGTAGCTTATGACAACAAAAACTAAAAGTGTACTGCATGACAGAGCCATAGACCATTTTGCCAACATGAAAGAGAGGAGGATGGCATTGGCTTTAAACTAGTCTACAAGTACCATGTCTACAAGTAGGGTGAGTCAACATTTTTTGTTTTACTTGCGCACACACAAACACACACACACAGAAATCAGTGCCATGGACAGCCACATGATATTTAGCAACATTGATTGGACTAACTTGTTTTTGGTATCTTTAAGTTTATTTTCAGTATATTAAACTAAGCATATATAGCCTTGTTGAATTGAGGATGTTTAAGTTGAAATGGTGCTGGAATAGCGGAGGCAGTGCTCCTGTTGGCTTTGTGCTGACTTGCGGTAACTCTGTGGTTCGAAATCAGTAGTTATTTAGTAAACTGTCGAAAATACTAACTTGCTTGACTGTTATATAACTATTTGAATGTAATATTTGCTTTGTGGACTTCACTGGACAGATGTTGCTTTCCGGTTTTGTGATGAAACAAATGTGTAGTTGAATTTATTCTGCCACTGTGTGTCTTTTTGTTGTCACGGCCTTATTGTATATCACGGTGGCGTATGAACGAATGGGTTATAGAGTAAATAATAATAATATGCCATTTAGCAGACGCTTTTATCCAAAGTGACTTACAGTCATGTGTGCATACATTTTTACATATGGGTGGTCCCAGGGATCGAACCCACTACCCTGGCGTTACAAGCGCCATGCTCTACCAATTGAGCTACAGAGGACCAACACAATTATCACAATATACAGTTGAAGTCGGAAGTTTACATACACCTTAGCCAAATACATTTAAACTCAGTTTTTCACAATTCCTGACAAAATACCCTGTCTTAGGTCAGTTAGGATCACCACTTTATTTTAAGAATGTGAAATGTCAGAATAATAGTAGAGATAATTATTTATTTCAGCTTTTATTTCTTTCATCACATTCCCAGTGGGTCAGAAGTTTACATACACTCAATTAGTATTTGGTAGCATTGCCTTTAAATTTTGCCTTTAAACATTGCCTTTAAACTTGGGTCAAACGTTTCGGGTAGCCTTCCACAAGCTTCCCACAATAAGTTGGGTGAATTTTGGCCCATTCCTCCTGACAGAGCTGGTGTAACTGAATCAGGTTTGTAGGCCTCCTACGCTTTTTCAGTTCTGCCCACACATTTTCTATAGGATTGAGGTCAGGGCTTTGTGATGGCCATTGCAATACCTTGACTTTGTTGTCCTTAAGCCATTTTGCCACAACTTTGGAAGTATGCTTGGGGTCATTGTCCATTTGGAAGTCCCATTTGCGATCAATCTTTAACTTCCTGACTGTTTCCTCCAGCATCTTCACAAGGTCCTTTGCTGTTGTTCTGGGATTGATTTGCACTTTTCACACCAAAGTACGTTCATCTCTAGGAGACAGAACGCGTCTCCTTCCTGACTGGTATGACGGCTGCGTGGTCCCATGGTGTTTATACTTGCGTACTTTTGTTTGTACAGATGAACGTGGTACCTTCAGGCATTTGGAAATTGCTCCCAAGGATGAACCAGACTTGTGGAGGTCTACAATTTTGTTTCTGAGGTCTTGGCTGATTTCTTTTGATTTTCCCATGATGTCAAGCAAAGAGGCACTGAGTTTGAAGGTAGGCCTTGAAATACATCCACAGGTACACCTCCAATTGACTCAAATTATGTCAATTAGCCTATCAGAATCTTCTAAAGCCATGACATCATTTTCTGGAATTTTCCAAGCTGTTTAAAGGCACAGTCAACTTAGTGTATGTAAACTTCTGACCCACTGGAATTGTGATACAGTGAATTATAAGTGAAATAATCTGTCTGTAAACAATTGTTGGAAAAATTAATTGTGTCATGCACAAAGTAGATATCCTAACCGACTTGCCAAAACTATAGTTTGTTAACAAGACATTTGTGGAGTGGTTGAAAAATGAGTTTTAATGACTCCAAACTAAGTGTACGTAAACTTCCAACTTCAACTGCTACTGCAGTCAGGTAAGTTTAATTGCTGCCAGCCATGCTATCACTTGGTTGGACGCACAACAATTTATGGTGTGTTATGAAGGTCTGTTTACCTAGTCCCAAACAGAGATATCTAGGAGCCAGGAGAGGGTGGGTAGTGTTCACACTAGCTGTACTTTATCTTACAGGATATGACTTACTGAATCATATGGTATGTAGCCTAATGGATCTTTAGACGTAGACCCACACATTTAGATGACACTACATTTGAAATAATGCTAGCCTGCTTGTCCTCTTCAAAAATGTTGAAGCAACACTTTCAGATAAAATGTAACCATGTTACACACAGTATACTGTAAGTATGGACTCAAAAATTTTAACAAGGTAAGGAGGTTTTCAAAATGAGCAATTTGCTTAAGGAATTCTCAATGAACATGTACATATTACCTCAATTACCTCGACTAACCTGTTCCCCTGCACATTGACTCGGTACCGGTAACCCCTGTATATAGCCTCGTTATTGTTGTTTTATTGTGTTTTTATTTTAGTTTTTACTTTAGTTTATTTAGCAAGTATTTTCTTACAACTCTTATTTGCTTAACTCTGCATTGTTGGTTAAGGGCTTGTAAGTAAGCATTTCACGGTAAGGTCTACACCTGTTGTATTTGGCGCATGTGACAAATAACACTTGATTTGATTTACAGTAAATGCTTTATGGACAATTCAGGACAAATTCAGGACAACATCAAAGTTACCCCATTCAACCCACAGTGATATTGTATTCAACCCACTGGGCACACACTGGTTGAAACAACATTGTTTCCAAGTAATTTCAATGAAATTACGTTGAGCCAATGTGGAATAGATGTTGAAATGACTTCTTTTCCCAGTGGGAAGTCTCAATTCCAGTAAACTGTCCATTGTATGTCTCCTACTCCTTCTCTCCAGTGTGCAGGAAGTACCTGTTGCTGCACCAGAAACAAAGGGATCGGCTCTATGAGGTGGAGACTCCTGGGGGCTGGGGCCAGAGACGGAACATATGGCTGAACCTACAGCTCAACCGCAGCACAAACAGAGGCCATCTCTAGGTCTGAATCAGGGTGTACCAAGGCAAACATTGTGTGTTAATGGGAGACAGACAGACATCACTGTAAACATAACATGGTCTGTGAATTGTAAGACAAGAAAGCACACCTTGAAAGCATTCCACTTGTAAATAGGATTATGTTTGATTATATGATGTTAGGATTTTATAGCTTTTTTATTTCCATGTTAGTTTCATTCATTTTCAGTGTGAAGTATCTTTGTAAAGTGGGGTTGTCTTTGTAGGCTCAAGTGAGAAGCAATGTCCAACAACAGTGAAGAAGGAGAAGAGAAACTATAAAATGTGAGAAAGAAATCTAACTTTTACCTGGACATACAATGTGTTTTGGTCTCAACCTCAAGTGACTTTTGGGGTCCATCACAACAAATGTAGCAACCACTGGATCTTGTAATTAAGACCATTTAGAAAATATGAGTAGGCTAAATCAGATTTCATATATTTGATTACACATTAATTTCCCTAATCCATGTATACATAGGCTTCTTTCCCTCCTACATCTTATGAGGAATGTGTATTTATGACTGTACTATCTGCCTCTTGCCTAACCCTTCCCTCAAGCAGTCCCCTGATTATAGGTTTGCTGATGGGTTGGCTGCCGCCAGCGAAGCAGCATCTTGTGATCACCACAGGAGTAAAAGAGAGAAGCCACCAAGACAAGGCTGATGGGAGTGCTAATTCCAAACGGGCTAGGACATTAGATTAAACCTCAGCGCACAGATGGATCATGGTCCTCAGAAGACTTCATGTCATGGGTTTGATACAGTATGTCATTTGTAGCAGGATATAGAAGGTAATTTGTGTCAGTTGTGATTTTGAGCAACTGTAAGGTGCTGACTAAGGCTAGAAATAATGGATGTTCAAAACTTAGTTTCTAATTTTGTGACATGAATTGCAAACAATATATCAGTTTTATATTCTGCTTAATAAATGTATAACATCATCACTGGGGTTACATGGGTGTACAGTTGAAGTCAGAAGTTTACATACACTTAGTTTGGAGTCATTAAAACTTGTTTTTCAACCACTCCACACATTTCTTGTTAACAAACTATAGTTTGGCAAGTCGGTTAGGACATCTACTTTGTGCATGACACAAGTAATTTTTCCAACAATTGTTTACAGACAGATTATTTCACTTATAATTCACTGTATCACAATTCCAGTGGGTCAGAAGTTTACATACACTAAGTTGATTGTGCCTTTAAACAGCTTGGAAAATTCCAGAAAATGATGTCATGGCTTTAGAAGCTTCTGATAGGCTAATTGACATAATTTGAGTCAATTGGAGGTGTACCTGTGGATGTATTTCAAGGCCTACCTTCAAACTCAGTGCCTCTTTGCTTGACATCAAGGGAAAATCAAAAGAAATCAGCCAAGACCTCAGACCTCAGGCTGCTCAGCAAGGATGAAGCCACTGCTCCAAAACCGCCATAAAAAAGCCAGACTACGGTTTGCAACTACACATGGGGACAAAGATCGTACTTTTTTGAGAAATGTCCTCTGGTCTGATTAAACAAAAATAGAACTGTTTGGCCATAATGACCATCGTTATGTTTGGAGGAAAAAGGGGGCAGCTTGCAAGCCGAAGAACACCATCCCAACCGTGAAGCACGGGGGTGGCAGCATCATGCTGTGGGGGTGCTTTGCTGAGTATAGATCACCACTGGGTACCCCATTGTGATTGTGGATGCTTTGTCATATGCATACTGTACAGCTGTCAATCCCTGGTAACATGGTGGATGCCCTTATGTTACTGAATCTAATTTAGAGCTATAGAATGCTATTGGCTGCTTTCTTCTCCTGCACAGGTTTCTTGCATCAACACTGCTGTTGCAAATCCCTGACAGAGGTTTGCTACATACAGTAAGAAAGGTTTTGTTTAGTCTGGAGACCCTAATGCTGGGGCGGCAGCATCATGCTGTGGGGGTGCTTTGCTGCAGGAGGGACTGGTGCACTTCACAAAATAGATGGCATCATGTGGAAGGAAAATGATGTGGATATATTGAAGCAACATCTCAAGACATCAGTCAGGAAGTTAAAGCTTGGTCGCAAATGGGTCTTCCAAATGGACAATGACCCCAAGCATTCTTCCAAAGTTGTGGCAAAATGGCTTAAGGACAACAAAGTCAAGGTATTGGAGTGGCCATCACAAAGCCCTGACCTCAATCCTATAGAAAATGTGTGGGCAGAACTGAAAAAGCGTGTGCGAGCAAAGAGGCCTACAAACCTGACTCAGTTACACCAGCTCTGTCAGGAAGAATGGGCCAAAATTCACCCAACTTATTGTGGGAAGCTTGTGGAAGGCTACCCGAAACGTTTGACCCAAGTTAAACAATTTAAAGGCAATGCTACCAAATACTAATTGAGTGTATGTAAACTTCTGGCCCACTGGGAATGTGATGAAAGAAATAAAAGCTGAAAGAAATAATTCTCTCTACTATTATTCTGACATTTCACATTCTTAAAATAAAGTGGTGATCCTAACTGACTAAAACAGGGAATTTCTACTAGGATTAAATGTCAGGAATTGTAAATAACTGAGTTTAAATGTATTTGGCTAAGGTGTATGCAAACATCCGACTTCAACTGTATGTTGCTATGTGTTTACTGCTATGTATTCATTCTGTCCTCCCACCTTATGACTGTAATTGGATGTAAAAGTATGTGGCTTGGCAGGGCAACCTTAAAGGCCCAGTGTAGTCAAAACGTGGTTTTCCTGTGTTTTATACATACACTACATGGCCAAAGATATATGGACACCTGCTCGTCAAACATCTCATTCCAAAATCATGGGCATTAATATGAAGTGGTCCCCCCTTTGCTGCTATAACAGCCTCCACTCTTCTGGGAAGGCTTTCCACTAAATGTTGAAACATTGCTATGGGGACTTGCTTCCATTCAGCCACAACAGCATTAGTGAAGTCGGGCACTGATGTTGGGCGATCAGGCCCGCAGTCGGCATTCCAATTCATCCCAAAGGTGTTCGATGGGGTTGAGGTCAGGGCTCTGCAGGCCAGTCAAGTTTTTCCATACTGATCTCGACAAACCATTTCTGTATGGACCTCGCTTTCTGCCAGGGGGCATTGTCATGCTAAAACAGGAAAGGGCCTTCCCCAAACTGTTGCCACAAAATCATCTAGAATGTCATTGTATGCTGTAGCGTTAAGATTTCCCATCACTGGAACTAAGGGGCCTAGCCCGATCCATGAAAAACAGCCCCAGACCATTATTCCTCCTCCACCAAACGTTACAGTTGGCACTATGCATTCGGTCAGGTAGCGTTCTCCTGGCATCCGCCAAACCCAGATTCGTCCGTTGGACTGCCAGATGGTGAAGTGTGGTTCATCACTCCAGAGAAGGCGTTTCCACTGCTCCAGAGTCCAATGGCGGCGAGCTTTACACCACTCCAGCCGACGCTTGCCATTGTGCATGGTGATCTTAGGCTTGTGTGCGGCTGCTCGGCCATGGAGACCTATTTCATTACATTTACATTTTAGTCTTTTAGCAGACGCTTTTATCCAGAGCGACTTACAGTTAGTGAGTGCATACATCTTTTTTTTTATAATCCATACTGGCCCCCGTGGGAATCGAACCCACAACCCTGGCGTTGCAAGCGCCATGCTCTACCAACTGAGCTACACGTGGCCCCCAACGAACAGTTCTTGTGATGATGTTGCTTCCAGCGGCAGTTTGGAACTCGTTAGTGAGTGTTGGAACCGAGGACAGACGATCTTTACGCGCTTCAGCACCATTTCGTGGCTGAGTCGTTGTTGCTCCTAGACGTTTCCACTTCACAGTAACAGCACTTACAGTTGACCAGGGCAGCTCTAGCAGGGCAGAAAATTGATGAACCGACTTGTTGGAAAGGTGGCATTCTATGATGGTGCCAGGTTGAAAGTCACTGAGCTCTACAGTATGGGCCGTTCTACTGCCAATGTCTGTTTGTCTATGGAGATTGCATGGCGGTGTACTTGATTTTATACACCTGTCAGCAACGGGTGTGGCTGAAATAGCCGAATCCACTCATTTACATACTGTTGGTCATGTAGTGTATTTCCACACTATGAGGTTGGAATAACCCTGTGAAATTGTGAAAATTATGGTAATACCCTTTTAGTGTAAGAGCTGTTTGAAAAGATTGCCTGAAATTTCAGCCTGTTTTGGTGGGATGGAGTTTTGGCCTTCCTGGTGGCATCACCAGATGGTAAATTAGTTAATAGTGCCAAACCTCTCTGCCAATAACAGCTAGTTTTCAGTTTTCCCTTCCCCACTCAGACCACTCCTAGACAGTCCTAGCAAAATTCTTGCTTGAAAAATTGCTCTTTGCTAAAAAGCAATTTTTGTTTCTTTTTGACCATTTTAATTTAAAACAATCACAGTAAGGTACTTAATTGTTACCCAGAAATGATTTGATATTGAGATAAAAACATCTGCATGGACCTTTAATACATACACAGGAAAACATTTTCTAGAATAGGATACAAGAGAAAGAAAGAAAAATACACAGGGGGCACATGCAGAATGCTTAACTCAAAACAACTCTAGACCTACTGAGTAAGAAAACATTAATAGTGGAGAGTGCTAGACAAACAAGGAGAGGTAGTAGGCTGCTGACCATTCACATCATCATAGGCCAAGTTATGGGTGAGCCTATTCCATCAGAGCCAATCTATAACAAACAGTATAATTTAATTTCACTGTCAAACATTTCCACTCCTGCTTTTCTGATCTGATTGACATGTTTTACTAATCTGTAAGTCACTGCTGTTGGCGCAGACACCGACTGGCCAACAATTCCTGTGGCGTTTCAATTACATAATTTCGGGGCACACCGACTTTTTAAACAAAAGCGTATCAAAACGTTTTCCAACTTTTCCCGTTTGACGTAGAATCAGGAAGTCACGGGAGAGTTTTGCTTCGGTTTTTCGAGTATAAAAACAGTGTAAATGTTGCTTTATCAACGTTGAACAATGAGCCGAATGTATTACAATATATCCTTGCAGAATAAACCTGTTCATAATGAGAAGATTGGGCACGCGTAGTACCCATCCTAATTTCAGAGGTATACTGACGTGACGCGGATCAAAGCCAGGCAATGATGCTTGCTGCAGAGAATCAGAGACACAATGTAATTCTGCATAAAGATACAATGTAATACTGCATAGAGATCAACATCTAATAGTGTTCTATTAAATGCTCTAGATAGCGCTCTCTCACTCGCTCATACACACACACATAGCTATCTAGAGCATTTAATAGAACATTTAGATTTTTATCTTTATGCAGAATTACATTGTATCTCTGATTCTCTGCAGCCAGCATCATTGCCTGGCTTTGATCCGCGTCACGGCATTATACCTCTGAAATGATGATGGGGACTAGCGTGCCCAATCTTCTCATTATGAATAGGTTTACTCTTCAAGGATGTATTGTGATAAATTCGGCTCATTGTTCGAGGTAATTGAGAGAGATAGAGAGGAAACATGAACTCGCGCATTAACAGCCCTGCAAAATTGTATACAGTAGCCTACAATATTTTCCCCCCACTGTGGTCTAAGTGTCATATTAGAGGAAAAGTTGGTTGATGTCTCACGCCATGTTATTACTGATGTCAACAAAACATAAGGTAAACTGACATCATGGAATAACCTCAATTAAATATGATGAGTCTATGTTATTGTTATTAGGCTATATTATTGATTTAATTGTTCTACTCTGCTCTACAGTAGTCCTACTGTTCGCTATTTGTACTATGAAAGTATGACTGCATGAGGAACTAGGCCTACTTGGTTTTCTAGGACTCCTAATTTGTCAGATTGCAACATATTGTGATGATTTGGCAGGAACGTTTCTATGTCTTATACATCAAACCCAGTCAAATCCACCAGAGGAAATTTGATGCTACAGGAATGGAAATAGAACCAAACTTCAGTGATACCAAAAAGGTCAACACAGGTTATCTCTTGTCATCATTCAGTGAGTATTCTTATCCACTTCATACAATGATATATGAATAAGCCTACAGTCGGATGATTCACAGATTATTTTTTAAAGATATCTTGTTGGTACACTTTACGCTGAAACACCTATAAAGGACTCTCAGAATCATGTACAAACTTACATGAATACATTTGCCACAATACTATATTTTTTGTATTGTAAAACAACTCTAGTGGTGCTGTCTGAACTGGTGTGTTTGTTGGTTACTACCACCATGCAGAGGTGGAGGCTAAAGGAGAGACTGATTGCCTCACTGAGGTCCAGCTGGAAAACCTAGTGACTAATGAGGATCTGGTGAATGTGACAGGGAAACACTGTCCCAGTGGGACCTACGCTTTCTGGCACCCATTGGGAGAGATGGACAAGACTGAACTAGAAACAGGCCAGGACATTCGACTGAAAACCAAAGGCGATGGCCCATTCATTTGTACGTTCGATGTTCCTTTGAAAAGTAGAGAACTCAGATTTTCACTTTAAAATCTATGTCAAACAAAAACCAATGATTGCAAAGTTAAACAAACCATATATGCACAAGGACATTTTTGAACAATTACCACTGAAAATATTCCAAAAACAAATTTACTTGAGCAACAGTGCAGATGCAAATTTTGGTAACAGAATGAGTTTGAACAGCATTCATTCTGTTACTTTGCATCTGCACTGTTCTTCAAGTAAATGTGTTTTTGTAAGATTTTCTGTGGAAATTGTTAAAAGTCGTCCTTGTGCATAGAGTTGTATGGTTTGTTTAACGTTGCAATCGTTTAGCATACATTTTGAAGTGAATCAGCATCACTCTGTCACTGTGGAATTTCCCAGCTCTAAGTTATAACAGCATTGTGTACTTAGTTGTCGTCTGCCCTTTCAGTTTCCTTGGCCAAAGTCGATGGAGGCACAGTGACCAAGTGCAATTTTGCAGGCGACGAAAAGGCAGGAGCATCGTGGAAAGACAAAATAATGGCCAACAAATCAGATGTCAGCAGTCAGCAGTGCAACGAAGTTGGAGGGCCAGGACGAGGGAGAAGATGAGGAGGAAGGAGTAAGGGGTGGGGGATTCCTGAGGCACAATTTATTTGCTTTCCACACATATTTAGTCCTTGTTTACTGTAACCACATAGGGAATCATTTAGGTAAGCAATGTAAGTTTATTTTTCCCTTTGTTATCTTTGGGAAAACATGTCAAATATGATCTACAGCACAAATATGATCTACAGCAGGGATGGGCAACTGACGGCCCATGGGGCCTTGGATCAATTCGTTTTTTTCAACTTACTGTTGTAAGTTAGAATAGTAGAATACACAAGGTGCAATTTCAAAATGTGGTTGTCCATCAGCAGTTTTTCTCTTATGTCAGTCACTGATAGTCAGTCAATTTACCCATGTAAGCTAACATTTTTTAGATTGCTAAGTTAGTTTAGTGGCCAGTTATCTAAACTTGTTATCATGGTCGAATTACTGGCCGGGGGTCCCCCATAGATTTTGTTAGTCAGTCTCACTCAGATATCATATTAAAAACTGCAAAAATACCTCTCCACCCTATGGCAAAATGTGTAGAATTACATAAAACTTGCTTTGAAACTGCAACATTTTCTCTACACCCTATTGCAAAATGTGTAGAATTGCACAAAATGTACTCAAAAACGTAAAACATTTCTCTCCGCTGTCAAGATGGAGGCCAAGAGGGGGAAGGGTAGATGTGGGTACGCAGACCCGCGAGCAACTGCGGCCTCTCATGAGTTCAGATTTTTTGTGGTAGCACCACCCCCATCAAAGTTTCCCATTCCTGATCTACAGTCTATTCACTGAACATAAATTATTTCTTTTTCTCGGTACTGTATATCTTTTATGACACCCCATTTCAACGTTTGCCCCTATCACCCCTATTTGACTGCTATTTCTATGTTAGGATGATTGAGGAGATTAATGGAATTGCACAGTAAAACCTCCTTATTCCTGTGTTGGTTTGTGCTCCATGGTTCCAGCCTCCAACGTTGCTTGTGCAGCATATGCACACAAAAGAGGAAGAGGGGCATTTCATTTTTTATGTTGTTTTTTATTTTGCATGTAATATAGACTCTTCTATAAGACGTTGACAAATCTTGGTATTGCAGGGTACCTTTGATATGGGGTGTAAAGCCTCTCTTTGGGAATCATCATACAGGCTTTACTCCTCTACTATCTCTCTATTGAAAATGCAGAATTGTCTGTAGAAGGGTACAAATCATATGTACAAGGCTAACCTTGTAATAAAACTAATGGCAATTTATTTGATGGTGTTGTTGTTCTAATGATGTGTCCAAAATGTAAACCATCACTTGGGTAAGAGTGATCATGCAAGGATGGAGTTATAGCTTTGACTAGTAGAGTAGTAAACGTTGCCTGCTAATCAGAATATCTGCATGTGCAAATGTATGAAGTAGCCACTTAGATCTAGGCTACAGTAGAATAAGTAAACTATTGTAGTTGATTTGAAATCATGCGTCCTCCAAAATAGATCAGAAACTTGTTTGGATTACCAACATGAATCAATAGCTACATTACTTGTCTACAGTATGTACCATAATGTATTACTATTTTTCTGAGCCCGTTACTAACATATTGTGTGAAATAATACACTTAGATACAATAATGTTATATTTATTGGTGAATATTCGTCTCACTCCCCCGACACAATAGCCCAAACTCAATCTAGTCCTTTTACCAATCTAACTTCAATCAATTTTATTAAAACTAATAAAAAGTATGGAAATGTATGCACTCACTACTACTGTAAGTCGCTCTGGATAAAAGTGTCTGCTAAATGACTAAAATGTTAAGAAAATAAAAAGGAAAACGGCAATATGCAATACTTTGACACATAATACATATTTTTACAAATACATACAGTAAGACATTGTATTGCTATAGTTATGTGTTGTTTGATAGTCTTTTATCAAAATAATTGTAGTTGTCAACCTGAGAAAGCGTTTTCTTTGGATGTGACTGTCAGTGTAAACAATATTGTCTCAAACAACAAATGGTGGAATGTTACTTGTTTAAATAAAATAGATTATAATTTCTCGTCTTGTTGAATTACAAGTGACAAAAACATTGAAATCTACATTTATTTTAGGTTTATATTACATGTTGATTATATGAAACCTGTTTTCGGATCTAATTGGAATGAAACCAAGGGTGTATTCATTAGTTGGATTCTGTTGCAAAACATTTGATCTGTTGTAAAATGTTTTGCAACGGAAAACATTTACTCCAAATGGAAAATGTTTTGCAAGGAAAAAAAGAGTTTCCCTCCCTGTTTGGTTACGTTTGCTCTGTTTGCTTCCTAGAGTAAACAGTTTGCAACAGACTAAACATTTTGCAACAGAATCCGACTATTTAATACACCCTAAGACTCAAGTCAAATACAGGGTGTGTTCAAAATCATGGCACTCTGGTCCATCTGGTTCTCATCCTATCAGCTCAGTTCAGCTGCTCTTGCCTTGACTCTTTTTTAAACCACTCCAGAACAGTCTGCTTGTTTTCCTTCACCCATTTAATGTTGGCCTCAGTTCTCTCAGTGGCTTGCTCTAGGGCCCTGATTGCCAAACGCAGTTCTTCTACATCATGGTCGGTCAGGAACTGTCCCAGCTGCACAATAACAATCAGGGAAAAGTTTGAATTAGGGCGGAAACCAGTAATTACTCAAAACTCAACTCCCACCAGCTGAACCTAGTCTCTCATCCCCAGACATGAAAACTAAATCACTGCATTCTATTCAGTCATCAAGACGGAGGAGAGGTTTGTGACTCAGATAGCGTTGTGGGCCTTGCCTGTTACCAATAGGGAGACGCTCACCTCTTCAAGCTCAAAGTCAGTGGAAAATCTCTGTGTCACTCCATCAATCAGGTTGCCAAGTGACATGATCCCTCCTCCGTACCTGAGGAGGAGAGCGGAGGGGAGAGGTGAGATGAGCATGTTTGCTCAGCAAGCAGTTTGATAGAAGCCAATTTAGATGACTGCCTGGCAACTCAGTGGCCTTGTGGTTAGAGTGTCTGCCCTGAGATCGGAAGGTTGAGTTCAATCCCTGGCAGAGTCATACCAAAGACTGTAAAAATGGGACCTGATGCGTCTCTGCTTGGCACTCTGCGATAGACTAGCGTCCTGTCCAGGGGGTGTACTTGTACATCAAGCTGCCTCACGCTACAGAAACAGGAGATAGACTAGCATCCTGTCCAGGGGGTGTACTTGTACATCAAGCTGCCTCACGCTACAGAAACAGGAGATAGACTAGCATCCTGTCCAGGGGGTGTACTTGTACATCAAGCTGCCTCACGCTACAGAAACAGGAGATAGACTAGCGTCCTGTCCAGGGGGTGTACTTGTACATCAAGCTGCCTCACGCTACAGAAACAGGAGATAGACTAGCGTCCTGTCCAGGGGGTGTGCTTGTACATCAAGCTGCCTCACGCTACAGAAACAGGAGATAGACTAGCGTCCTGTCCAGGGGGTGTACTTGTACATCAAGCTGCCTCACGCTACAGAAACAGGAGATACAGGCAACTCCAAACAAATAAATGATAAATTAGAGGTGATTTCCTCTGATTGGCCAAGGAGACCTTTGTACCCGACTTGTTTGACTGGTCTACACCTTCCTTGAGGTTTATTTAGGTGATTTTTACACAACACTTTATGAGACACCATACAAAATAAATGCTAATAAGTCATGGGTCCATTATTTTAGTTGGAAAGGAACATGATATATATATACAGTAATTAACAACAGAAAAAAACATACTCCAAGCTGATGTAGTTCCAGTTTGCGCGTACAAAATTCCAGGCTATTGCTTGCCCTGCCACATTTCTGGCTATGTAGCTGATGGTAGAAACTGCATCCATTTTTCTTATCTTGTCAGGGTTCAAAGTGTACTCAAGGTATCTGCAAGATGAGAAGGAAATGCCTGATAAATGGTCTTTGCACAGCAACTAAAGTTTATATCCCGAAGAGGGTGGTACAGACGGAAAACTATCTAACCTGTTCAGGAGCCAGATCTTCCTGGTGCATGAGAGGGCATATCTTAGTTTGTCTTTCTCTGTGGCTGTGGCGGCATTCTCGAACTTGCCCCAAGCAAATTCCCATTCCTTCTCTCCCCCAGCAGCTATAGCTTGGCAGTAGATGGTGGCCTTCAGGTTAGGGTGTATACTATGGCAGTGGGGACAATTAAAGAGAGAAACCGAATCTGTTCATTAAAGTTAAAAGGATCAATACACTCAATATATCCAAAATTGCATATAACATTTTGGTATTAGGTTATTTAATCAATGTCATGCATATTACAGATTACGTGTTATGTTTTATGAATTATATGACGACCCCATTCAACTGTGAAATACAGTGCTAAGTACAGCAGGAACTAGCATGCATCTGGCTATGTTGGCTTGACGAAACCCAATTCCATACCAATTGGTAGTTTTGTTTGTCATCCAGTTGTCAAATAGCATTTTTGCCATTTCTTGGCACTCTGGAATGTCATTGCTGCATGCGACTGAAATGGCGTTAATCTGGTTGTACCTGGGAACGAATAATGACATGTTAATAACATACTTAAAGACAGGATGTGTTCAGAGGGTTGCAATATTTGATGATTATGAAAATATGTTTCTCACTGTGCAGAATGCTTCTCTGGGACCGTAGACAACATGGTGACATTTTCAAAATGTTGATAAAGGCCACCAACTTGCTTTCTTAAGTATGCCTGGAAATAGCATAGGAAAAATACTGTATTACACTCATATTTGTCATTTAAATTTGTAGGAATACAGTTTGCTATGATAAAAGGGCACTTTAATGTACAGTATCTTTATTTGATGACTGACCTGCATTGGGCCATAGACCTCGGAGCGATCAAACATGAGAATGAAATAGTCCAGGTTTCTCAGTGCTGATTCCCATGGTATGTACTCTGTGTCATTCCGGAGGTACTTGGTAGTTCTCAAAGCCAGTGTCACATTGATATGTTTGGCCCTTGATAAACAAATAAAATATATAATATCAGAAGACCTTAGCCGTCCAAAGAGGATATTATTTACATCATGAAAGTATAATTTCTGTAAGGTCCCAAACCATGAAAATGCAATCACTGTAATGTGTAAAACATGTTTATCAGAGTATACATGTTGAAGGAAGTCCATGAATGTATCAGTCTTAGATTAGATTACCTTGCCAAGTTGAATGCATCATCAATAAGCTGTCCCCGGTTGATGACTGGAATTTCCTGAGAATAAATCAAATAATAAAATGAATGAATTCTAGTTATTAAAGTCCTACTCCAGTCTCTTTTTTCACCTAATTTAACACCTGATTTACTTAGCAAAAGGCACATCTCAATAGGTGGTCCAGGTATGACATGACATGGCACAAGAGGGGCCTTTCCTTTTTTCACCTCTAGTGTTCCCGTAAGGAAGGGGGGAAGCCGATGATGTCACATCAGACCATCAGAGAAACTCATTGAATGTCCTACTCCTTGAAGTTTACAGTTGTGTTTAAAAAACACTATTTTGCTCAAAACATACACTACCGTTCAAAAGTTTGGGGTCACTTAGAAATGTCCTTGTTTTCAAAAGAAAAGCAATTTTTTTGTCCATTAAAATAACATAAAATTGATCAGAAATACAGTGTAGACATTGTTAATGTTGTAAATGGCTATTGTAGCTGGAAAAGCTGTTTTTTTATGGAATATCTACATAGGCGTACAGAGGCCCATTATCAGCAACCATCAGTCCTGTGTTCCAATAGCACGTTGTGTTTGCTAATCCAAGTTTATCATTTTAAAAGGCTAATTGATCATTAGAAAACCCTTTTGCAATTATGTTAGCACAGCTGAAAACTGTTGTGCTGATTAAAGAAGCAATAAAACTGGCCTTCTTGAGACTAGTTGAGTATCTGGAGCATCAGCAATTGTGGGTTCGATTACAGGCTCAAAATGGCCAGAAACAAATAACTTTCTTCTGAAACTCATCAGGTTCTGAGAAATGAAGGCTATTCCATAAGAGAAATTAAAAATCAGCCATTTCCAGCTACAATAGCCATTTACAACATTAACAATGTCTACACTGTATTTCTGATCAATTTTATGTTATTTTAAATGGGCCAAAAAATTGCTTTTCTTTCAAAAACAAGGACATTTCTAAGTGACCCCAAACTTTTGAACGGTAGTGTATATATTTTTTAGTGTGTGTCCATTACTGTATTTATACAGTATTTTTCAACCGGAAAAGTTCAAAGCTGGAGAGTGTCTTTAAAGCAAACTGCACAAGGGAGCTAGCATATTGTCTTATTTGACATCTTAAGGAATACCTATGTGAGAATGCTGTTCATCGACTACAGCTCAGCTTTCAACAACATATTCACCTCCAAGCTCGTCATTAATCTCAAGGCCCTGGGTATGAACACATTCCTGACACATTCCTGACAGGCCGCCCCAAGGTGTTCAGGCCACGCACGACTCCAACACATTTTACATTTTAGTCATTTAGCAGACGCTCTTATCCAGAGCAACTTACAGTTATTTTTTTATTTTTCATACAGGCCCCCCGTGGGAATCGAACCCACAACCCTGGCGTTGCAAACGCCATGCTCTACCAACTGAGCTACATCCCTGGCAGCCATTCCCTCCCCTACCCTGGACGACGCTGGGCCAATTGTGCGCCGCCCCATGGGTCTCCCGGTCGCGGCCGGCTACGACAGCCTGGATTCGAACCAGGATCTCTAGTGGCACAGCTAGCACTGCGATGCAGTGCCTTAGACCACTGCGCCACTCGGGACACTATCATCATTAAGTTTGCTGACGACACGACAGTGGTGCCTGATCACCGGTGGCGACGAGACACCCTACAGGGAGGAGGTTAGAGCCCTGTCAGAGTGGTGCCAGGAAAACAGCCTCTCCCTCAACATCAGCAAAACAAAGGAGCTGATTGTGGACTACAGGAAAGAGGAGAGGGACCATGGCCCTATTGACATTGATGGGACTGCAGTGGAGAGGGTCAAAAGCTTCAAGTTCCTCTGTGTGCACATCACAGAGGACCTGACATGGCCCAATCACACCAACACTGAGGTGAAAAACAGCTGCACCATCAAGAGCATCTTGACCGGCTGCATCACTGCCTGGTATGGCAACTGCACAGCCCTCAACCACAAGGCTCTACAGAGGGTTGTGCGGACGGCCCAATACATCACTGGGGGCAAGCTCCCTGCCCTCTAGGACATCTACACCAGGTTGTGTTTGAGGAAGGCCCGGAAGATCGTCAAGGACTCCAGTCACCCGAGCCACGGACTGCTCACTCTGTTACCATCTAGCAAGCGGTATCGGAGCATCGGGTCTCGGACCAACAGGCTCCGAGACAGCTTCTACCACCAGGCCATCAGACTGCTGAACAGCTAACACTAGCAGTCTCCTGCACAGAGCTGAGACTTAGTGACTATTTGCACCGACTCTCCACACATCCAACCCTTACACACAAGCACACACTCACAACTGTCCATAAACAAACACACACAAACAAACACGCAGTCAATGCTGCTGTTCTATTATATACTATTTATTCAACTGCGTGACCAAGACACTACCCACTTTATATCTGTAAATTCAGCCAGGGCGAAATTGTGGTGTAGATATTGGGGGGGACGAACAATAGACGGGCTCGGGGGTAGTCCTCCCCCAGATTTTTGTTGTTGACATTTTAAAACGCATTTCCTGCAACTCTACACAGTTTGACATTACTTATTATGCCTCTCGAGGGGTATTTTGAGGGGTATATGGAGGGGTATTTTGAAAACACAGTATAAGTGTAAGGCCCCCACAACCCCCCCAAAAAAGGGAAAAATCAGGAAAACAGCTAACATTTCAACACATTTTGCCATGGGACAGAGAGAACAATCTGCAGTTTTATAATGTTACTCTACACATTTTGTCATGAGGCTGAGAGAAAATGTTGCAGTTTTAAAGCTAATTTCCTGCTATTCTATACATTTTGCCATGGGGTAAAGTAACTGTCCAGTGAAAATCTCCAAAGCAGAAAAAACACTTAAAATCCCCCAACTCAAACTTGTATCTCAAACAGACCATTTAAAAAATGTGTGCTATTTCCTCATAGAGGACGATGTCACCCTCCTGAGGAGGATGAGCTGGCTAATCAGTGGTCTACTTGCATTAATATTTTTTATGACCGGTATTGCCCACACCATTCTGTTGTTGAGGTACGCCCACACCATTCTGTTGTTGAGGTACGCCCACACCATTCTGTTGTTGAGGTACGCCCACACCATTCCAACACAGAAAAGCTGCTTTTTTTAACATACTTAATTACGATTTCTTGGTAGGAAAACAATTTCACTCATACTGTAATTAATTAGTCATATTTCATAGAAATCTGGAAACACTGAACAGTTACTTTAAAGCTAATTTCCTGCAATTCTACAAATTTTGCCATTGCTTATGACGTATTCATATGCTACAACAAATATTTTGTAAATATTTTTTGAATAAATTATTGGGGGGGACCAATCGACCTGTTCTGAATATTGGGGGGGGAACTGTCCCCCCATTCCCTGTGGCAATTTCGCCTATGAAATACAGTCATACTTGACATGGTCCTCTGTAGCTCAGCTGGTAGAGCACGGCGCTTGTAACGACAGGGTAGTGGGTTCGATCCCTGGGACCACCCATACACAAAAAAAATTATGCACGCATGACTGTAAGTCTCTTTGGATAAAAGCGTCTGCTAAATGGCATATTATTATTATAACACAATCATGATCTATACTGTATAACCTATTGTGTACACAGGGCTGGCTCTAGCCTTTTGGGGGCCCTAAGCCAGATTTGGTTGCCCCCCTTTCTGAAATTTCCTGAAATTCTACACAGGGGGGGGGGGGGGGGGGGGGGGGGGGGGGAGTTACAATTTTATAAAAATGGTCATGCAATTCTACTGATTTTGCCATGGGGCAGAGATAAATAAATGTCAGTCTTATAGCCAATTCCCTGCAATTCTACCCATTTTGCCATGTGGTGGAGAGAAGTTTTTTTCAGTTTTAAAGCACATTTCCTGCAATTCTACACATTTTGCCATGATTATGCCATGTTAATGATATCTGAGTGAGAGTGACTAACAAAATCAATGTGGGCCCCCTGGAGGTCAGGGCCCCTGGGCACGAGCCCTGCGTGACCGGTCGGTATTTGACCATGATTACTACAAGTTCAGATAGCTGGCTGACTAACTTACCAACCTGAAATTCTACACATTTTGCTGGGGGGGTAGTTACAATTTTATGAAAATGTACATGCAATTCTACTGATTTTGCCATGGGGCAGAGATAAATAAATGTCAGTCTTATAGCCAATTCCCTGCAATTCTACACATTTTGCCATGTGGTGGAGAGACGTTTCTTCAGTTTTAAAGCACATTTCCTGCAATTCTACACATTTTGCCATGATTATGATATCTGAGTGAGAGTGACTAACAAAATCAATGTGGGCCCCCTGGAGGTCAGGGCCCCTGGGCACGTGCCCTGCGTGACCGGTCAGTATTTGGCCATGATTACTACAAGTTCAGATAGCTGGCTGACTAACTTACCAATCTAAAAATTGTTAGCCGACATGGCTAATTGAGTGGTTGTCAGTGACTGACATAGCAAGAGAAAATTGCTGATGCACAATCAAATTTCTAACTTGCACCTTGAGTACTACTATTCTAGCTTACTCTCAACAGTATGTTGAGACCCCAACTGAGGAGGGGGAGGAGGGGGTTGTACTGCAATTTTGAGGGAGCTAGCACACAAGGCATTTTGCTGCACCTTTTAAACCTGCTGTAAACTGTTAACGTGACGAATACATTTGATTTGAAGAATGTACTCACAAAAACCTTTTCCAGCACATTCTCTCCAAATATTTCTTAACAAAATATTACCTAGTCTTCTCAGAATATGCTACATTGTTTATTTTGGATCAACAGGCTGCTTTGATAATGCACAGGAACAGCCTTCTAAGCACTAGCAATATATAATGTGCTCTGTTTCGTGTCTGACTTGGACTGTATGGACAATACTGTTCTACACAAATGAGGAAGACTTACGTGAATATTCATTTCCAGCTGAGAGAGCAGTCTATCCCAATTCACTGGATCATAGTTGACTCTGAAATATCCCATACAGTTTATGTTGGCAAGCACCCACTTGCCATCTTCAGACAGGTAATCTGGCATCAGTACTGTTGAGCAAATTCAGAACATGAGAGTTACATTTTCCCTCAATTAGGTTTTTATTGACAGAACTAATGACTAGCACCATTTAATTAGTTGGGTTTGCTATTATCATACATTATACAGTATATTTGCCATGTTCAGTCTATCTATAATGGAGAATTACTGTACATAATATAGCTCATCAGATCATCTCTCTCATTTAGCCTGGGGACGAGGTTACTCATAAAGTGATACTAAGACAAACATTAACAATTGTACATAGTACATTCAATTAAATATTCCTTACCTTGATATTTTTTTGCCAGTGTAACTAGTTTTATGGGTTCACCTTCCTTCATCACTCTGATTGGGACATGCCATTCAAAACTAATGAAAGAGAAAAAGTTCCTAAACAATATATTGACATAATATTATGACCTACAGCTATATTCACATATGCTAATAAAATGCTTCATTGTAGGCCTAATTCATTACAATGTAATCCAATCAAAACTGTAATAATATACTATAGTAACACTTCATTTGAAATGATAACAGTGTCATAATATTGTTGTAAACATGTCATAACTGAATGGCATGGCAGTGTCATTTTGCATGCATTGGAAACGGTTATGACAGGTGTTACGACTAACAATTTTAGCAACACTTTTTAGGTGAGTAAGCAACATAAGCTGTTATGTCAACATATGTCATAACTGTTTCTGATGTATGAAAAATGACACTGTCTTGTCATCTTATGACATTCATTATGTCATGTTCATGATAATAGTATGACGCTGTTATGGCTTATAGTTCAATTAAAGTGTTACTCTAAAACTGTTGAGTGGAAATGTCTGTCAGAGTACTCTAGCAACAATCCATTGCTTAGAGAACAAGAGGTGGAGTAGCCTGGGTTTGAACTCCACACCTGCTGTGGGGGACGGACCAAGCACAGGATTTCACAAGGTCAGTCATATGGGCATCTAATTCTACACGGAGGGGACAATCAGTGGTTCAGGAAACCTGTTATATTTGTTTTCTCTCTCTGTGGTGTTTCTTGACATAGTGCAGGACTTACTCGTAGTCAGATGTTTGATTTAGGAGGAAATGTTCTTGAGAAACTGCCCCATTGGTGGTGTTGATGGTGATGACTGGGTAGCCCATTTGCTTTGTCCAAGTGTCCATGACTTCAGCAACTTTAATGTGGCCGCTGTCCTCGTCCACCGCCTAGAATGTTTTTGTCATTAGCATTTTATACAATGTATTCATGCCACTAAAGCATTTTATAAATTTTACATGCTTGAAAGCACACAATTACATATACTAATGTTGTGTTGATAGGCCTAGTAAAACTATCAGCTTTTACCTCTTGTAAATATTCCCACAGGTCCTTGTGTACAGTATTACTGTACTGGAAAGCCTGAAGATATTTCTGAAACATTTTGAAACAATAGTATTTACACACACTCTTAAGAATTTGACAAAAAGGTAATTGATTATTGATCCACAAAAGGTTCCCATTAGTTTTGATACATCCATGTGGAAAATTACAAATATACAACATAGATGTTCCACACACTGACAATAAGCCATTCTACACATTAATGGACAGAGACATAGTTGTACTTACTCTCAGACCATTCAGAAATACCCTCTCATCCAGATAATCTGCGAGCATTCTCAGCACAGCTGCCCCCTGAAGAGTGAAGATATGTTAATATTAATAGATTATATAAACTAATTCCTTCACTATATAGAACATTCCTGTTCAATGTTAAAAAGAAACATTTTTGATATCATCTCTCTTCCCCCATGGGGCTCTGTCACAACCAGACCTTGCTGTAGGTGATGGAATCGAAAAGTTGAGTGATGTCACTAGAAGTTTGAACATCATCCTCTTTAGAGCTTAGGGGATGGGATGAGGCCAACGAATCCACTTGAAATACAGTCTGGATGTCATTTAGAACAATCAGATCTTTCTGGAAAAACAAAAGAATCAGAGACCAAATGAAAAGAAGCCTCTTAGAAGTGTTACTACAATTTGCAATCTGATGCAACAGATGCAGAACAAATATACAGTTATTAATAAGTTGATGGGGACATACTATGTTCCATGTTGGCTCAATATGATCCACTCCCATATAGGATATATATGTTGCAAATCCCTCATTCAGCCACAGGTCATTCCACCATTTCATTGTCACCAGGTTTCCAAACCACTGAAAACAACAGATTTAGGTGGCGTTACAGTGAATGCCACTACAATGCAAGATCATGTTTTTAATTAATTGTAGTTCTCTTTACATTAATACATATATTACATTTTGAAATAGTAATTTTGAGTTTTGTACCTGATGGGCAAGCTCATGTGCAATAACTGTGGCAATCCACTCTTTGTTTGATGTGGAGGACACCCCTTCCTCATATAGCAGAGCTGTCTCACGATATGTTACCAAGCCCCAATTCTCCATGGCACCTGCGCTGAAGTCTGGTAGAGCAATCTGATCTAAAGTAGATAGAAAATAGGCAGTTGTGGAAAAAGTACCCAATCTTCATACTTGAGTAAAAGTAAAAGACACCTTAATATAAAATGACTCAAGTAAAAGTATTTGATTTTAAATATACTTAAATATCAAAAGTAAATGTAATGTAAAAAATATACTTAAGTATCAAAAGTAAAAATCATTTAAAATTCCTTATAGTAAGCAAACAAGACAGCACCATATTTCTGTTTTATTTTTTTACAGATAGCCAGGGGCACACTCCAACACTCAGACATAATTTACAAACAAAGCATGTGTGCTATGAGTCCGCCAGATCAGATGCAATAGGGTTGACCAGGGACGTTCTCTTGATAAGTGCATGAATTGGACCATTTTCCTGTCCGGCTAAGCATTCAAAATGTAAAGAGTACTTTTGGGTGTCAGGGAAAATGTATGTAGTAAAAAGTACATAATTTTCTTTAGGAATGTAGTGAAGTAAAAGTAAAAGTTGTAAAAATTATAAATATTAAAGTAAAGTACAGATACCCCCAAAAAACGACTTAAGTAGTACTTTAAAGTATTTTTACAGTGGGGAAAAAAAGTATTTAGTCAGCCAGCAATTGTGCAAGTTCTCCCACTTAAAAAGATGAGAGAGGCCTGTAATTTTCATCATAGGTACACGTCAACTGTGACAGACAAAATGAGGAAAAAATATCCAGAAAATCACATTGTAGGATTTTTAATGAATTTATTTGCAAATTATGGTGGAAAATAAGTATTTGGTCAATAACAAAAGTTTCTCAATACTTTGTTATATACCCTTTGTTGGCAATGACACAGGTCAAACGTTTTCTGTAAGTCTTCACAAGGTTTTCACACACTGTTGCTGGTATTTTGGCCCATTCCTCCATGCAGATCTCCTCTAGAGCAGTGATGTTTTGGGGCTGTCGCTGGGCAACACAGACTTTCAACTCCCTCCAAAGATTTTCTATGGGGTTGAGATCTGGAGACTGGCTAGGCCACTCCAGGACCTTGAAATGCTTCTTACGAAGCCACTCCTTCGTTGCCCGGGCGGTGTGTTTGGGATCATTGTCATGCTGAAAGACCCAGCCATGTTTCATCTTCAATGCCCTTGCTGATGGAAGGAGGTTTTCACTCAAAATCTCACGATACATGGCCCCATTCATTATTTCCTTTACACGGATCAGTCGTCCTGGTCCCTTTGCAGAAAAACAGCCCCAAAGCATGATGTTTCCACCCCCATGCTTCACAGTAGGTATGGTGTTCTTTGGATGCAACTCAGCATTCTTTGTCCTCCAAACACGACGAGTTGAGTTTTTACCAAAAAGTTATATTTTGGTTTCATCTGACATTCTCCCAATCCTTTTCTGGATCATCCAAATGCACTCTAGCAAACTTCAGACGGGCCTGGACATGTACTGGCTTAAGCAGGGGGACACGTCTGGCACTGCAGGATTTGAGTCCCTGGCGGCGTAGTGTGTTACTGATGGTAGGCTTTGTTACTTTGGTCCCAGCTCTCTGCAGGTCATTCACTAGGTCCCCCCGTGTGGTTCTGGGATTTTTGCTCACCGTTCTTGTGATCATTTTGACCCCACAGGGTGAGATCTTGCGTGGAGCCCCAGATCGAGGGAGATTATCAGTGGTCTTGTATGTCTTCCATTTCCTAATAATTGCTCCCACAGTTGATTTCTTCAAACCAAGCTGCTTCCCTATTGCAGATTCAGTCTTCCCAGCCTAGTGCAGGTCTACAATTTTGTTTATGGTGTCCTTTGACAGCTCTTTGGTCTTGGCCATAGTGGAGTTTGGAGTGTGACTGTTTGAGGTTGTGGACAGGTGTCTTTTATACTGATAACAAGTTCAAACAGGTGCCATTAATACAGGTAACGAGTGGAGGACAGAGGAGCCTCTTAAAGAAGAAGTTACAGGTCTGTGAGAGCCAGAAATCTTGCTTGTTTGTAGGTGACCAAATACTTACTTTCCACCATAATTTGCAAATAAAATCATAAAAAATCCTACAATGTGATTTTCTGGATTTTTTTTCTTCTCAATTTGTCTGTCATAGTTGACGTGTACCTATGATGGAAATTACAGAACTCTCTCATCTTTTTAAGTGGGAGAACTTGCACAATTGGTGGCTGACTAAATACTTTTTTCCCCCCCATAAGTACTTTACACCACTGAAAATAGGTTATTTTATATTCTATTCCATTTCCAAGCTTTGGTTGTAGCTGGTTGATTAAATTTCAGCTGATGATTTAATTGAATTTCACCTTCTTACTTTGTTTTGGACAGTTTATGTATGGAGTAAATAATTAAATTGATTAGATGGATTTTATGACAATTCATCTTTGTTGAACACTTGCGATGTTATGATTAACCCATGCTTATTTTACATCGTTATGATGCAATCATGCCCATACATACCTAGCTTGCTCAAAGGATAATTCATTTTAAATACTCCAGGACTCTCATAGAACGCCAGAATATTTCCAGTGATACTTGCAGCATACTTTGCATGTCCAGATTTTATGGCCTCCGGTCGAGCATACGTCTTTAACAAACCGAACAGAAAATAAAAAAGTGAGTTTTAGTATCATATCAATATGATTTGGTGAGTAAAAACATCTCTACCATGAAAATCAGCAGTGTAGTCTAAACTGAATACATTTAAATAGTATAGCGGTTTAGCTGGAATCTAGAGAGAATTGCCATTTATATGTAATTTACTACAGTATTAACTTTCTTTGATATGGCTATTGAAATACAAACCTTTTCACATGGTCCTTGTTATATCTATGCAACAAAATACAAGTCATTTTGTTGATATAATGCACTATTACAGTTATGATTCAACAACTACAGCTACATACCTTAATGTCAACTCTTTCATGTGTAGATCCTATGGATTCGAAATCAGACACTGTGAAAGCTAAGAGGTAAGTTGACATTTTCTTAGTCGTTTGAAAGCGAGTGACTTCCCAGGTCTCTCCATCGATATCCTCAAGGGTTGTACCTAAAAGGAATAAAAAAGACTCTGTACTTGATGACTTTGATAGTATGAAAGGAAAGAGTTTTGTTTTGACACTCATTACACAATAGTATCTACAGTAAATACTCAATATAAGCTAAAAGAACAGGCACAGTATATGCATGCATTAGCCTCATAATCTGTGAATTATTGTTTACAAAAAGTCCTGCATATAAAATGGGGAATTTAATGAGAAGTCATAAATGTATGTCTACATTTTTGAATATACAGTATAGCATATTGTTTTCCAGAAGGGCTACAGTTTCAAAAGTATTGGGACAGTCAATTTTTTGTTGTCGTTTAGGCTCTGTGCTATAGCACTTTGGATTTGAAATGATACAATGACTATGAGATTAAAGACTGTCAGCTTTAATTTGAGGGTATTTCTATCCATATCGGGTGAACCCTTTAGAAATTACAGCACTTTTTGTACATTATCCCTCCATTTTAGGGGACCAAAAGTATTGGGACAAATTCACTTACAGTGAGGGAAAAAAGTATTTGATCCCCTGCTGTCTTTTATACAGGTAACAAACTGAGATTAGGAGCACTCCCTTTAAGAGTGTTCTCCTAATCTCAGCCCGTTACCTGTATAAAAGAGACCTGGGAGCCAGAAATCTCTCTGATTGAGAGGAGGTCAAATACTTATTTCCCTCAATAAAATGCAAATCAATTGATAACATTTTTGACATGCGTTTATTTCTGGATTTTTTTGTTGTTATTCTGTCTCTCACTGTTCAAATAAACCTACCATTAAAATTATAGACTGGTCATGTCTTTGTCAGTGGACAAACGTACAAAATCAGCAGGGGATCAAATACTTTTTTCCCTCACTGTATATGTGTATTAAAGTAGTCAAAAGTTAAGTATTTGGTCCTATATTCGTAGCACGCAGTGACTACATCAAGCTTGAGACTGTACAAATTTGTTGGATGCATTTGCTGTTTGTTTTGGTTGTGTTTCAGATTATTTTGTGCCAAATAGAAATAAATGGTAAATAATGTATTGTGTCATTTTGGAGTCACTTTTATTGTAAATAAGAATTCAATATCTTTCTAAATACTTCTACATTAATGTGGATACTACCATGATTACGGATAATCCTGAATGAATCGTGAATAATGATGAGTGAGAAAGTTACAGACGCACAAATATCATACCCCCAAGACATTATAACCTCTCACCATTACAATAACAGGGGAGGTTAGCATTTTTGGGGGGGGGGTAAGATACAGTGGGGGAAGAAAGTATTTAGTCAGCCACCAATTGTGCAAGTTCTCCCACTTAAAAAGATGAGAGAGGCCTGTAATTTTCATCATAGGTACACGTCAACTATGACAGACAAAATTGAGGAAAAAAAATCCAGAAAATCACATTGTAGGATTTTTTATGATTTTATTTGCAAATTATGGTGGAAAATAAGTATTTGGTCACCTACAAACAAGCAAGATTTCTGGCTCTCACAGACCTGTAACTTCTTATTTAAGAGGCTCCTCTGTCCTCCACTCGTTACCTGTATTAATGGCACCTGTTTGAACTTGTTATCAGTATAAAAGACACCTGTCCACAACCTCAAACAGTCACACTCCAAACTCCACTATGGCCAAGACCAAAGAGCTGTCAAAGGACACCAGAAACAAAATTGTAGACCTGCACCAGGCTGGGAAGACTGAATCTGCAATAGGTAAGCAGCTTGGTTTGAAGAAATCAACTGTGGGAGCAATTATTAGGAAATGGAAGACATATAAGACCACTGATAATCTCCCTCGATCTGGGGCTCCACGCAAGATCTCACCCCGTGGGGTCAAAATGATCACAAGAACGGTGAGCAAAAATCCCAGAACCAGATGAAACCAAAATAGAACTTTTTGGTAAAAACTCAACTCGTCGTGTTTGGAGGACAAAGAATGCTGAGTTGCATCCAAAGAACACCATACCTACTGTGAAGCATGGGGGTGGAAACATCATGCTTTGGGGCTGTTTTTATGCAAAGGGACCAGGACGACTGATCCGTGTAAAGGAAAGAATGAATGGGGCCATGTATCGTGAGATTTTGAGTGAAAACCTCCTTCCATCAGCAAGGGCATTGAAGATGAAACGTGGCTGGGTCTTTCAGCATGACAATGATCCCAAACACACCGCCCGGGCAACGAAGGAGTGGCTTCGTAAGAAGCATTTCAAGGTCCTGGAGTGGCCTAGCCAGTCTCCAGATCTCAACCCCATAGAAAATCTTTGGAGGGAGTTGAAAGTCTGTGTTGCCCAGCGACAGCCCCAAAACATCACTGCTCTAGAGGAGATCTGCATGGAGGAATGGGCCAAAATACCAGCAACAGTGTGTGAAAACCTTGTGAAGACTTACAGAAAACGTTTGACCTGTGTCATTGCCAACAAAGGGTATATAACAAAGTATTGAGAAACTTTTGTTATTGACCAAATACTTATTTTCCACCATAATTTGCAAATAAATTCATTAAAAATCCTACAATGTGATTTTCTGGATTTTTTTCTTCTTCATTTTGTCTGTCATAGTTGACGTGTACCTATGATGAAAATTACAGGCCTCTCTCATCTTTTTAAGTGGGAGAACTTGCACAATTGGTGGCTGACTAAATACTTTTTTTCCCCACTGTATTTGTGCGTCTGTAACTTTCTCACTCATCATTATTCACGATTAATTCAGGAGTATCCGTAATAATGGTGGCATCCACATTAATGTAAAAGTTTTAGAAAGATATTCTATTCTTAGTTACAATAGAAGTGACTCCAAAATGACACAATACATTATTTACCAGTCATTGCGTGCTATGAATATAGGACCAAATACTTTAATACGCATATACACTACCAGTCAGAAGTTTGGACACACCTACTCATTCAAGGGTTTTTCTTTATTTTTACTATTTTCTACATTGTAGAATAATAGTGAAGACATCAAAACTATGAAATAACACATATGGAATCATGTAGTAACCAAAAAAGTGTTAAACAAATCAAAATATATTTTAGATTCTTCAAATAGCCACCCTTTGCCTTGATGACAGCTTTGCACACACTTGGCATTCTCTCAACCAGCTTCATGAGGTAGTCACCTGGAATGCATTTCAATTAACAGGTGTGCCTTCTTGAAAGTTAATTGTGGAATTTATTTCCTTCTTAATGCGTTTGAGCCAATCAGTTGTGTTGTGACAAGGTAGGGGTGGTATACAGAAGATAGCCGTATTTGGTAAAAGACCTAGTCCATATTATGGCAAGAACAGCTCAAATAAGCAAAGAGAAACGACAGTCCATCATTACTTTAAGACATGAAGGTCAGTCAATACGGAAAATGTCAAGAATTGTGAAAGTTTCTTCAAGTGCAGTCGCAAAAACCATCAAGCGCTATGATGAAACTGGCTCTCATGAGGACCGCCACAGGAATGGAAGACCCAGAGTTACCTCTGCTGCAGAGGATAAGTTCATTAGAGTTACCAGCCTCAGAAATTGCAACCCAAATAAATGCTTCACAGAGTTCAAGTCACAGACACATCTCAACATCAACTGTTCAGAGGGGACTGCGTGAATCAGGCCTTCATGGTCGAATTGTTGCAAAGAAACCACTACTAAAGGACACCAATAAGAAGAAGAGACCTGCTTGGCCCAAGAAACACGAGCAATGGACATAAGACCAGTGTAAATTTGTCCTTTGGTCTTGAGTCCAAATTGGAGATTTTTTATTCCAACCGCCGTGTCTTTGTGAGACGCGGTGTAGGTGAACGGATGATCTCTGCATGTGTATTTCCCACCGTAAAGCATGGAGGAGGTGGTGTTATGGTGTGGGGGTTCTTTGCTGGTGACACTGTCTGTGATTTATTTAGAATTCAGCACACTTAACCAGCATGGTTACCACAGCATGCAGCGATACGCCATCCCATCTGGTTTGGGCTTAGTGGGACTATCATTTGTTTTTCAACAGGACAATGACCCAACACACCTCCAGGCTGTGTAAGGGCTATTTTACCAAGAAGGAGAATGATGGAGTGCTGCATCAGATGATCTGGCCTCCACAATCCCCCGACCTCAACCCAATTGAGATGGTTTGGGATGAGTCGGACCCCAGAGTGAAGGAAAAGCAGCCAACAAGTGCTCAGCATATGTGGGAACTCCTTCAAGACTGTTGGGAAAGCATTCCTGGTGAAGCCGGTTGAGAGAATGCCAAGAGTGTGCAAAGCTGTCATCAAGGCAAATGGTGGCTATTTGAAGAATCTCAAATATAAAATATATTTTTAGTTGTTTAACACTTTTTTGGTTACTACATGATTCCATATGTGTTATTTCATAGTTTTGATGTCTTCAATATTATTCTACAATGTAGAACATAGTACAAATAAAGAAAAACCCTTGAATGAGTAGGTGTGTCCAAACTTTTGACTGGTACTGTAAGTGAATTCGTCCCAATACTTTTGGTCCCCTAAAATGGGGGGACTATGTACAAAAAGTGCTGTAATTTCAGAAAGTACCCTCAAATGAAAGCTGACAATCTGCACTTTAACCTCAGTCATTTTATCATTTCATAGTCATTGTATCATTACAGAGCCAAAACAACAACAAAATTGTCATTGTCCCAATACTTCTGGAGCTCACTGTACCTGCAGGATTCCTACAGGAATTGTCCTAAAGGAAAGTGGCCCCGAAAATCCTGTGGGATATGCTGCAGGACATCCTATTCCTGCAGGATATGTACTGTATTATGCAGGATTTTTCCTGCAGGATTCCTGTACAACCTTTTTGTAAGGGTACATATGAATGTAAGGCGCCTTTTAGAAGGTGGGTTAACATGACCTAGTATGACAATAGTATGAAATGTGATTCTCACCTATGACTTTCCCATTTGCTAGTGCTGTCGTGCCAGGCCTATGGATGATAGTGACTCTAAATGTAGCCTTCATGGCTGGCTCATCGAAACAAGGAAATACTTTCCTGGCGTCGGTTGGTTGCATTTGGCTAGTAGCGATGAATCTGTGGAAAGTATTTGTTGAAAAATAGGATAAATATTACAACTGGAATTGAATAACAGTGTAACAACAGCAATACAATACAGAAAAGAGTTGCTTGTTAGTTAATTTTGATTCAATTAGCTTTTTCAGTATTTCAAATTATCCACGCTTCCAATGTCTATGCAGCTACAGTATGAACAGTGATGGACATTTTTTGCAATACAGGACTGTAATTGTAAAGCCACTGAGGAAGTAACAATGTCTCAAATGAGTGTCCTAATCTATTCAAGGAATGTGAAGCAAAGCTGTTGGTGAAGTGAACAGAGGAAAAATGTGCAACATTATCCCAGGAGGTCTTTTTACAATAAACACTTTTAAGTTGAACATATAAATATGAGCCAGGCCTGAACAACTGCTGGGTGATTTGATATGACAAGAAATAAAGAAATATAGTCCCATTTGTAGGGACATGTTGTATACATCTGTACACATGTCCGCTGAAGAAGCCACTTTGGGGTATTTTTTAAGAAATTGGAATTCCATCTGTAAGCAAATCATGTTTTTTTAAGGAAACAGAGTGCAATAGAATACAAACCATGATAAACTTTGTATTCGATCTCTGTTCAAGCACAGTGGTCTATAAACTAGCAGGTCACTGATTTACAGCATGGAAACAATCACATATGAATGTGTCAAGGTGTAATGATGAGGTGGTTTCAGGTTGCTTTCTGGTTGCTTAGTACTGGCCACTACTAATTTATTTCAAGGAAGCACTGCTGATCAAACCCGTGAGGACTTATGAAACAGAGTAATTATCTTTCCTGCCAGACTCCTAAATGTAACCATATAACAGCCTCTAACAAGAGGTCTGACCTAATGACACAGTAGGTAGAGCAATGTGTCTGCCTTGTAATTGCAAGGTATGTGGTTCAAGCCCTGCCCTGGCTGTCCCCCTCAATTACTACATTGGTGGCAGAGGGGCAAATTATCCCATAGTCTGTCAGGCCTTTGTTGGATGTGCATCCCTGTTTTAGTTGGGGTGTACAAAGTGTTCTGCCTCATGATGATACAGGGGAAGTATGTAGCCTCCCTGTCAAGAGGTCTAAACTTTTTTAAGGTTCAGGAGTGTGCTTGCCTTATTATCAAAAGGTCACTACACCACTATCACCTGTAAATTGCCCATGTAATCATGCCTTTATCAGACAGAGAAAGCTCTATCCAACCGGAACACTGTTTAGGGTGGTGGTTTGTGATCAATCCAGTTATGTAATGCTGTTGATGCAAACATATATTATCAGACTTGTACATGTATTACCTTTCATCAAGCTCCACGATGATCGTTTCATTCCCGAACCACCTGTAAATGGGTTTTCATATAAGTCAAGTCTAATTTCCATCTCACAGCATTCCTTTCATATATGTTTGACAACAAATCATTCATAGTTTTAGTTTCTCAGTAGTTATCAAAGAAACCCTTACCTTTCAGTGTCATCCTCTGTGCTTGGCCCTTTTTTGTATGAACTCATGTAAAAACCAGCCAGATCATCAAGGAGCTCCCCCTCAAATGCAGTAAAGAGACTGTAGTTCCCATCTTCAACTAAAACACTGTCCAGTCTAATCTCTAAGAAGTTACTTTCATTACTATACAGTATGGTGTTGTCAACTTTGATGATCTTTCCCTTGTCAAGATCTGTCACCTTTACAGCAGTCACATTCTGTTCTTTACTGTGAAGGACGATAGTTTTGGTGTTCTCCACACATCTAAAATACACAGTGGAGTTTCCAGTGAAGATGAGAGATTGATTGTTAGTGTTGTTCATCACGATGTAGAGGTGAGGCTGTAGTACGATGTCATAGCTCTCTGGAATCAGGTTTCCAGGGAGTCTCATGTTGGGTGGTGGTCCAGTTGGATACGGAGTAGTGGCATTAGGTGTTGGTGGTGCTGTAGGTTGTGTCTTGATTCTTTCGTTCTCATACACAATAATCATTGTAATTATTCCACCAATAGATGAGACGGTCAACACCACTATGGCTATGGCCAGGAACTTTGAGATATACACCCCTGTGGCCATGTCCAGTCCTTCTGGAAGAGCCTCACGCCTCCCGTTGTGTTGGTAAAGCTTGGAACTCGGAACTGAACTTGAAACTGAACTGAGTTGCCTTTAACTGGCTCTATGTCTCTATCCGACCTCCCATAAACATGCAGACTGCTATGGGGATAAGCTAACCAGTTATTGCTCATAGATTTAGCATGAACTTGCCTTTGCAAGCAAAGAGTAATACTGAAGGTCGATGTTCATTCAAATGAAATCAGTCAGATTTTTCTCCCACACATCTGGCATTGGTTATCCTCTCATACCATCAATCCTGGGTTAGGTGAACCTCAAACGGGAATGCTTTGAAACCCAAACATCACAAGCCTCTCAATAAGTGCGTGGCACAAAAAGTGATACATACTTTATATCGCGTGAGCTCCTCTCAAAAGAAAAATGTACTTTAAGAGCAAGAGAAAAAGCATGTTGGCCCTCTGGTGTCTATGTTGATCCTCACAGTTCTAAGTAATGATAGAACCAGCTGTGTAGCCCTCTGAGTCGTCAAGAGTTCTTTACCCGTTTCCAAAACAACCTCGAAGTACACTGACAGGTCTGTGTCCCACCAGCACTGGATTATTATGCATTCAGGGAAAATTAGGAGCATGTGTTTATGTGAGGAGGGTGTGCTCTAGGGCAGGGGATTTTAGCACATCATTATTTGGAATGGCCCCCTTCACCATAAACACATGCTCCTAATTACCTCAAGATAAAAATAATGAAAATGGAAGTAAAGGAACATTCTGGGAAATTGGGTCTGTGACAAATGATATCCCCCACCCACACCCACTAACATACACAATAGAGCAGCAAAAACTTTACATGGGTCCTTTAATGGATCCGTTGAAGTATTCTAAAATCACAGCAAAGGAGTTTTATACCAACAAAACCCAATGATAAAAAAGGAAATGTCAGCATACAATTCATTGATTTGTTAGAACGTCATTATCTAATAGCCTCCGTAAATTGGCCTAACTACATTTCTGGTTACAACCTGATTAATGAGAGCGCAGCCATTACTCATTGGTGTTAGATTATGTTTTACCAGTGCAGTTGCAAATTACACCTTTTGAGAGAAATCGTCATGGTCAAACCAAAACATTAAGGATAAGGACCTCTCATGGTTAAGCGAGGCACTGCAGCATCACTAATTATATTATTGAAGTAATACATATGCGTTTATTTACCCTACAAACAAGTTACCCCCCCAAAATACCTGACAACATGTCAAGTAAACCTATGTTATTTCACAACAAAGGCAATTTTCCATTGAGTGGAATAAGTTGAAATTCTGGACATTCAATGTATATTTGCTCAAATTATTTTAACAGTGAACTATTGTTTCATTTCAATATCACACACAAGGAATCAATGCAAATGTCTGTCGTGGAAGATCTAAAGGCTCAATATATTCCTTCATTCAAGAACAGCATATGAAATATGAAATCAGTATGTGTATTGTTATTAGTTGTCAATGGTGTGAAAGAAATATAGGACAAATTAAACATCTATGATTGATTCAGCTTCTTCAGTAAACTAAGAAATAAGTTAAGAAAAATGTTTTAAAATGTCTAATGAATTGTAAAATCAAAAAATCAAATACACAATCCTTTTGTGCAATGGAATGGTGAGGGAATAAGCTCAAATGTTCCAGCCAACATTGGACCCTGATTAGCCTAACTACGCTGCATTCCTGATAAGATGTACTGAATTCCAACAGCTTATGATTCCGTCTTGTAATAGTATTTTGTTTACCAGAGCCAACTGTCCAGGTGTTGGAGACAATAACAGGACTGCTGGAGGATAGATGACAGCTCTCTGTAACTCTGCTCTCTCCAACCAGGAAGCAGTCGTTCATTGTTGAGGGCCTGTAGCCTGGGGGTCCCCTCTCTTAGGACCTGGTACAGACAGGGCCATCTGCTCTGTATCCTAAGCCTGGTTCGGCGGTCTAAAGTAATGCCACGGACAATCTTTTTGGCCCTTAGCTCCCGTAATGCTGGCAGATTAAGACTGGAGAAGACCAGACCACGACTAGGGGATACATCCAGGAACTCTAGAGACATGGACTCCAGCGTGTAAGATATCCCAAGGTTTCGGAGTGGCACCAGGATATGCAATGTCAGGGACTTAAGGTTGGGCAGTGACTTGGTCAGGGTCTGCAAAATGCTTGGGCTTACCCCTTTGAAGACCCAAAAGTACTTGAGTTCAAGGACACGGAGGTGCTGGAAATGAGTGAGGAGTGACACTGATGTCTCAGACCAGTCAAAGTGCAGGCGCATCTTGGTGATTCGAGGGCAGCTGTGGGACAGTTTTCCCAGTAGTACCTGAAAGTTAGTGACCTGGTCCATCTTGATCTTGGTAATGCTGTCATGGTGGGAATTGGAACCAACCCGCAGGTCCAGTGGCTCCAGTAGTGTGAATGTCCAGTTCAGGTCCAGTTGGCTGAGATCCCTGCAGTGGACATTTTCTAGAAGGTCAGAGAGAAGCTCCCCCCACTTGTTGCACTGGTCCCCCAGGTCAAAGCTGGCTTTTAGGGTGAGCAGGCTCGCCCCACGGGATATAAGGTGGTGGGTGTAGTGGTGAACCCATGCTTTCCAACGCTCAAACTCTCTGTTGGACACCAGCAGTCCTTCCTGTCCAAGGTGGATCACCCCACGGCGAGAAAAGTCTGCCACTCTCCAAAGCTTCCCTGATCGCACAAGACAACTCCAACTGGAGCATACAAGAGCGGAATTGCACTTGTCAACCTCACTCAGGAAGGAAAGCACGTGGAGCTGGCATTCCACCGGCAGAAGATTGAAAGGAAATAAGTCATCCCCTGCTTTTGCCATTCTTCTTCTACTGACAGGGACGAGAAGCTTCTTCCTTGGGGACATGGTGTTCATTGGTGGAGGACAAAATCCCCACCAGGAAAAGTCTGATATAACTATGCCATATACATTCTGGTCCGGTTCTTCCCAGGGCTGAGAAAGAAAATCAAGTGTTTGTAAGTAATCATCTAACGGTATAGTATACTATAGTAATTATATTCTTAACTAAACAATTTAACCAATGTATACATGTCTGGTTACTGGTATCATAGGTTATATTATGTTAATGGCATTACACACGCCTATTCCACAGACGGTGTAACGATACAGAGCGTTTGCTAAATATTTGCTAGTTATATACGTTAGCTACCTAACCCGTAGCAAAAGAGCTTGTAGACAGACAGACAGACAAACAAAAGACACCAACATCGTAAATGTTGAGCTTGTCATCGATGTGGCAACAAATATGTTTCGTATTTCAACCTGCTTTAAATCTAAAGTTATCTACCAACTGGTGTGTTGTGCTAGCTAGCTAGCTAGTGTTATAGTTAGCATTCCATTTCACGTACCTTGTGACGATTGTATGCACAAAAAATAAATAAATAAATAAGACGTTTTTTCTTGTAGCTAATTATGTTTAATTACATAGGGTACCGAGAACAAATGTCTATAAGACCAATTTATGTAAAGAAACGATTGGTTAGCCAGCTAGCTTGCAAGGATAACAGCTGAGTTGTTGATGATGATGATGATGATGATGATGTCGTCATCAAATCGCGCGTCAAGGTTCTCAAATGTTCATGGGTTTCAAGTTTGAGTAAGCAGTGCGCAGGCTAATGTTATTTACATTTATAAAGCACCAGGTACTATGATGTTTTTTTCCTCCAACAATCGAGTTAGCTAATACAACAGTTATTAAACTACATGCACTCCTGGATTTATCTAGCTAACAAACTACCGTAAAATCAAACAATGCCAAGTGTATGTCCAGACAGGGCGCTCTTTCTTCCCATCTTCCTGTCCCTGGCCGCCATCTTCAATTTTAAATGTTTGTTTTCGCTGACGTTTAAACAAAAGGTATTTGTATTTGTTCAGATCTTGGCGTGCAGGATGAATCACGTAATAGTACAAACTCTGGAATAACAAAGTGAGTATTTTAGACAGTTTGTCTCATCAACTACACTTTTTTAGGGATATTTCATGGCCTTTGTTTTTGGTGGAACAATGTTAGGTTACTAACGTTAGCTAGCCATTGTTGTTGTGATGTTTTGCTGTAGCATTCGCTTGTTATTATTTAGCTAGCTAAGTGGGAAGCACACACTTTCAAAAGCAGAGCAAGTAACGTTAGTACTAACTGCATGCAGTCCTAACTGCTGGCTAGTTAATTGGATGTGAAGCCTCAGCTAGGTAACCAGAAAACGCATAGCCTCTGCATCAGACCTAATGAGTCATGGGTGTGTTGGCATGCTAGCCTAACGTTAGTTACTCATTTATAATCTATTAGGTATTAGTTTAGTTGATTTTTGTGAGACATTACACTGGCTAGCACGACCCTATTTCTGCAGTTACATCGCTTGTTTTGCCTTTCGAGAAAGACTAAATTAATAGCCACGATGAAATGCAATGCTATGGAAACTCAAAAAAGTTGACAAACAACCACAAGGTGGCATCCTTTGATAAGCCATTAATTAGCTACCAACCATCCGTTCAGGATCTCTGTTAGTTTTGTGGCGCCCCACTTTCTGCTTAATTTATTTGCTTACAGTTTATCCTTCAGGATGTGCCTACAAGTTAAGTCTTTACTCTCAACCCTGTTTGTTTCTTTGTTTAGGTCCAGAATGCATAGTGCTCAATTCTTGTCTATATCAACAGAAGATTAAACCACGCTAGCCTCCCCTCATCCTCACTCTGCAGATCTTCAAGCACAGATTAGAGTATATGCGCCTGGATCTGGCATAATTAAGTAGATGGGGGAATCCAAGAACATGGTGTTGAATGGCAGGCGGCATGGCAGCAGATTCTCCAGTGATCTATCCATAACCTCGGCCAGGTCTCTGCGACAGAGCAAGGGCTCCTTTAGAAGCAGGAGATGTAGTCGACGTAAGTGCTGTCCTTTGGCAATGCTCACCACACAATAACAGAACCATAAATGACCCCTTTCAGCTTCATCAATAAATTACACTGCAGTTTTTCCTGATTTTTAAATGTTTTAATTGTAAAATAAATAAATAAAATAAGAATATGACCCCCCCCCCCCCCCCCCCCCCCAATCATCTCCCTCTCTCTCACCTCAGGTGTCAGCAGTTCTGCCCTAGAGGCAGAGAGACGTCATACCCCATCGTCGGGTATGACTGCAAAGGAGCTCTGTGAGAATGATGACTTGACTACAAGCCTTATTCTGGACCCCTACCTCGGCTTCCAGACCCATAAGATGAATAGGAGGTTTGTCTCTTTCTGGCTCACAATTGTCCACATTTGTCATATAATGGCTTGTGCATAAGTCAGCAGCCAAAGTTTCACAATATCTGGGGAGATGGTTTACTTGTATGGCCCAGACAAGGTTGCCTATCACGTTAGACTATGACTCGACGCACCGAATGCATTACATTTGCATTGAGAATGGTTTGGAAAGTGGTTACGGAATTGACTGTCTATGGTGTGCTTTTAGGTTTCGACCCATCAAGGACCGACATAGACATTTGAAGGAGGTGCTTGAGAGCTTTAAAAAACATGACAACCTCGAGAAGGCCTTCCATGCCTTGACTGCAGGGGACTGGTTAAGACACCACTTTCCCCACAAGACGAAGGCACAGGGCAAACTCTTCAAAGAGCATGTAAGTTATCTAGAAATATCCATTGTTGAGAAAAAAGCATGAACCATCAAAACAAAGATGTGAAAACTATTTTTTTGTGTTTTGGCAGGTTTTTGTTTACCTACGAATGTTTGCAACTAACAGTGGGTTTGAAATACTTCCTTGCAATCGTTATTCCTCTGAGCAGAATGGAGCCAAAATTGTAGCAACAAAAGAGTGGTGAGTATCCAAATTAAATTGTAGTAGTCTGAATTTTGTTATAACAAAATGTTGCACTAAGTATATAGTCATTTTTACAAACTCAAATATTCCTTATTCATATTATCCCAAGGAAAACAAATGATAAGATAGAATACCTGGTGGGCTGCATCGCTGAGCTATCGCAGAATGAGGAAAGCGTGTTACTGCAACATGGTGAAAATGACTTCAGTGTTATGTACTCCACCCGCAAGAACTGTGCTCAACTGTGGCTGGGACCTGCAGCCTTCATCAACCATGGTATGCATCCCCATGCGCTTGACAACAACTGTATCTGCCTCATTCAACACACTTATACTATAATTAAAATACCTGTATTAAGAGACTAAACAAATGTTTTCTGGTTTTTCAGATTGCAGGCCAACTTGCAAGGTAAGTAATAACTATGCCTACAAATCAAAAGTATTGTGGAAAATGAAGTGAATTGTGGAAATAAATAACACATTTTTCTGTGTATGTTAATACAGTTTGTTTCCACTGGGCGAGATACAGCTTGTGTCAAGGTTCTTGGGGATATTGAACCTGGGGAAGAGATCTCCTGTTATTATGGCGATGGCTTCTTTGGGGAAAATAATGAACTCTGTGAATGCTACACCTGTGAAAGGTATCATTCAATTCTTGATTAAATATCAAACTTGTAGTTACTTTATATGTAGAATAATGAGTCATACATTGACTACGATTTTGAGATTTCACATCTTGATAATTTCTACTCCCTTCAGACGAGGTGCTGGTGCTTTCAAATCGAAGACTGGGCAGCCTATGCCCACTCCGATTATCAACAGCATGTATGGCCTGAGAGAGACAGACAAACGTCTCAATCGGCTGAAGAAACTAGAAGACAGCAAATGCTCTGACAGTCATTTGGAAGGCTCTAATATGGATCCAGACTCTCAGGAAAATCATGACACACATTCATGTAAGTGCACCTTTGAGGTTGAGCAGGGATTGACATTAAGGGTTGCCCTATTTCCTAGGCTAGGGCAAGTGAATTGAGCAGTCACACAAGTTGAGACTGCTCTGTGGTTGCCCCATTGAGCAACAACCAAAATGCAAAGAAGTCCAGTAGCCTGAAACTTATCTTTTTGGTTCCTCCCCATTGTTTAAGTGAAAGACAGACCATTTTGGCATTTATGGCAGCTGGGCAAGTTGTGGTTCCACTGTGATTGCCACAGGAAATTCAGTAAATTTTTACTGATAGCAACCAACATACAAAGATTTTGAGTAGTGATCTTTCTGGTTCCTCCCTTATGTGTAGGAGAAAGGCATGATATATAAAAGCAAGATTACATTTTCGTGATCAAGTTTTTGTCACGTGCACAAGTACAGTGAAATGCCTTTCTTTCTTAGTCTTTCTCAACATTGAAGTCAAGTATGACACAAAAAAAATTTGAAATAAGAAAGTAAGTAAGCTATATACAGGGTCACTTCCAGGGTCAGGTCATTTACAATGTGTAGGAGTGGTGGGGTAAGGTGACTAGGCATCAACATATACAGTGGGGGGAAAAAAGTATTTAGTCAGCCACCAATTGTGCAAGTTCTCCCACTTAAAAAGATGAGAGAGGCCTGTAATTTTCATCATAGGTACACGTCAAGTATGACAGACAAATTGAGATTTTTTCTCTCCAGAAAATCACATTGTAGGATTTTTTATGAATTTATTTGCAAATTATGGTGGAAAATAAGTATTTGGTCACCTACAAACAAGCAAGATTTCTGGCTCTCACAGACCTGTAACTTCTTCTTTAAGAGGCTCCTCTGTCCTCCACTCGTTACATGTATTAATGGCACCTGTTTGAACTTGTTATCAGTATAAAAGACACCTGTCCACAACCTCAAACAGTCACACTCCAAACTCCACTATGGCCAAGACCAAAGAGCTGTCAAAGGACACCAGAAACAAAATTGTAGACCTGCACCAGGCTGGGAAGACTGAATCTGCAATAGGTAAGCAGCTTGGTTTGAAGAAATCAACTGTGGGAGCAATTATTAGGAAATGGAAGACATACAAGACCACTGATAATCTCCCTCGATCTGGGGCTCCACGCAAGATCTCACCCCGTGGGGTCAAAATGATCACAAGCAAATATCCCAGAACCACACGGGGGGACCTAGTGAATGACCTGCAGAGAACTGGGACCAAAGTAACAAAGCCTACCATCAGTTACACACTACGCCGCCAGGGACTCAAATCCTGCAGTGCCAGACGTGTCCCCCTGCTTAAGCCAGTACATGTCCAGGCCCGTCTGAAGTTTGCTAGAGTGCATTTGGATGATCCAGAAGAGGATTGGGAGAATGTCATATGGTCAGATGAAACCAAAATAGAACTTTTTGGTAAAAACTCAACTCGTCGTGTTTGGAGGACAAAGAATGCTGAGTTGCATCCAAAGAACACCATACCTACTGTGAAGCATGGGGGTGGAAACATCATGCTTTGGGGCTGTTTTTCTGCAAAGGGACCAGGACGACTGATCCGTGTAAAGGAAAGAATGAATGGGGCCATGTATCGTGAGATTTTGAGTGAAAACCTCCTTCCATCAGCAAGGGCATTGAAGATGAAACGTGGCTGGGTCTTTCAGCAATGATCCCAAACACACCGCCCGGGCAACGAAGGAGTGGCTTCGTAAGAAGCATTTCAAGGTCCTGGAGTGGCCTAGCCAGTCTCCAGATCTCAACCCCATAGAAAATCTTTGGAGGGAGTTGAAAGTCCGTGTTGCCCAGCGACAGCCCCAAAACATCACTGCTCTAGAGGAGATCTGCATGGAGGAATGGACCAAAATACCAGCAACAGTGTGTGAAAACCTTGTGAAGACTTACAGAAAACGTTTGACCTGTGTCATTGCCAACAAAGGGTATATAACAAATTATTGAGAAACTTTTGTATTTTCCACCATAATTTGCAAATAAATTCATTACAAATCCTACAATGTGATTTTCTGGATTTTTTTCCCCTCATTTTGTCTGTCATAGTTGACGTGTACCTATGATGAAAATTACAGGCCTCATCTTTTTAAGTGGGAGAACTTGCACAATTGGTGGCTGACTAAATACTTTTTTCCCCCACTGTATGATAAACAGAGTAGCAGCAGTATATACTGTATGATGATTGTATTTGAGAGTGTGTGTGTTTTGGTGTGTCAGTGTGAGTGCATAGAGTCATACACAAAAATCAAATAGAAGGGTCAATGCAGATCTTCTGGCAACTAAAAAATACTCCTGAGCTACTATTGGTCAATTATAAAACGTGACATGCCGTACTTGCATTAAGAACTGTAACATCTTATGCTAAATACTAATATTATAATACATTCCAATTTTACAATGATTGTATGTAGGTTGTCATGTTTCACAAACTTTCGATTTGACTGTTCTGCCATTATTTCTTATTTCCTGTCCACATCTTAGCTGTAGGGAGGACAGCCCGCTCTAGTGTGACAAGGCTCAGTGAATCACAAGCCCTAAGCAGGCAAACTCTGTCCAAAATGCCTATCCCTACCTCATCATTCAATCAAAGACACTCAAAGAACTCCAACGTGCCAAGGAGGCTAAAATCAAAGTCCACAATGCCTTTGCACAAGCTAGGAAGAAGGTGTCAGGCAACTGGCCACAAGTGCCCCATTGAGGTGGAAGCTATGGGTTTGTGCCTTAAGGACCCCACAGAATTTGTCAGTAACAGGGTCTCACGAAAGAGAGAGATGGATAAGCAAGGGCCCATACAAGTGGTGGGAACAAGGGGTGGTCTTGAGCACTATACTGCGAAGGAAAACCATCAGAAATCAATGAAAGATGTTAGTAGGTGCCCTGATGGTTTAGCTTGCACTCACAGAACTCGCAGTTCAACCAGAGCATCAGTTGGCACACAGGGGTCTGACAACATTAAACTTGAACCAAACTTGCCACCCATCCACTGCGGTGGGGTTATTAGTAAGACCAAGCCTACGGACCTTGGAGATTGTGTCACAGACAGTCACTGGATGAACAGCCCAAGCCTGGATATCAACTGTCCAAAGAAAGAGAACTGTCCCAGACATAAGCAAATGATAAAGCAGGAAGAGCAGCACTCTTTCAGGCCAGCATCCCTTCTCCAGGAGGAGGTTCCAGGCCTGCACCATGCAGCTCGTACCACAGACATAGCTGATGGCAGGAAAGAGCTGCAAGGCCTGCCTGATGGTCGTGAGCACTACAACCTGTCTAAGGGAGACAAGCTTCTCCACCTTGGCAAGGGGAAGAAGAAACAGCAGATTACACGCTATGATTCCCAGCTGATCCTAGCCAACAACAACTCAGGCGTCCCCAAGTTGACCCTGCGGAGACGAAGGGACAGCAGCAGCAGTAGGATTGAGCCTGGTGAGGCTGACCCTGTCAAGTCCTCCAGCTCCACAAAGACCAGCATGAAATTTGGTAAAAACCATCACCATGCAAAGACCAAGAGGAGCTCTTATGCAGCCAGACTGAGTAATGGGACTTTCAGTCATGTGGACCATATCCGCTCCTCCAAACACGGCCTCAGTCCTGTGGACCACATTCGCTCCTCCAAACATGGCCTCAGTCCTGTGGACCATATCCGCTCCTCCAAACATGGCCTCAGTTCTGTGGACCACATTCGCTCCTCCAAACATGGCCTCTGTCCTGTGGGCCACATTCGCTCTTCCAAACATGGCCTCAGTCCTGTGGACCACATTCGCTCCTCCAAACATGGCCTCAGTCCTGTGGACCACATTCGCTCCTCCAAACATGGCCTCTGTCCTGTGGACCACATTCGCTCCTCCAAACATGGCCTCAGTCCTGTGGACCAAATCCGCTCTTCCAAACTGCAGATTCAGCTGCAGCGTGAGCAGGACAGCAGGAGGCTCAGCCAGTATCACCATGGCACTGGGCCCTTCACGGGTATAGTAGAGAGGGAGGCAGGGGAGGTCTTTGGGCCTACAGTAGCAACATTTGGGATGCATGATGACACAGAGGAAGACTCGTCCTCCTCTGAAGAAGAGGATGAAGAAGACGTCTCTGACTCTGACCATGAAGAGTTTGACGATGATTTCATTCCACTTCCACCAACAAAACGCCTCCGGCTCATTGTTGGTAAAGACTCTATAGATATTGATATTGCATCAAGGAGATGTGAAAATCAGTCACGCACAGTCAATGCATGAGCTCTATGGGTCTTTGTTTGACTAGTTGATTAAATCCAAAAAATAGAAATCCAATGCTGTTGTAACTATTTTTGTACATGATGGAACTTGATTCGTTATTCATATTGTAGAATGTGTATATTTTACATAGCATACAATGTGTAGGCCTTTATTTTTATATCTTCAGCTTTATTATGTACGATTGTTAATTATATTTAAAGCCTTTTCTTGTTTGTGGGGTAAACATGCTACATTTTGCTTCACTGACATTCGCAAGAATGGAACCTTTTGGGAACACACTTGATGTGCTTTTGTCAGCATGGCAGTGTATACATGCATATAGAAGAATGTGTTTATATATTGTTTTGAGAGTTTGAAAGGCACAGAATTGTTGTTTCTTTCTGGAGGTCTGTGAAAATGTGTTTGACTTCCAGTGATTCCTGGGAGCTGGTCTGTGACATTTTTGCCCCATTTTTAATCATGAATTCATTAATCAAAATGTGTTGGTGCTTGCATAATGATTATATATTATGTTAACTTTTCAGTTTGTACAGAGATGGATTTTGGGGATTTCATTTTTAGATCGACTTTTTCTATTCATTTCACTGTCACTCAATTCTCAAACTGTATCACTTCTGTCTCCGTTTTAACAATCACAAATTCATTACAACTTACTTGGCTAACTTGGTCTGGCATTGGTAGTGTAGAAAATCAGATTTCTTTCTTACTTTGCGATTTTGTTAATTTGTTCATCTGAATGACTTTCTGTCTGCTGTGTGTGAATGATATGCATGTGTCAACTTTTTAAATTGCTCTATGATAAAAAAAAACAATACTAGGTTGATTTAAAGTCGGTTGTACAACATTGTACCTGTCACTGTAATTCTGTATGCTGTCATATGTAGGCTACTGTCTGTAGTCTTGATTAAGCTACATTACATGACCAAAAGTATGTGGACACCTGCTCGTCGAACAGCTCTTTCCAAAATCATAGGCATTAATATGGAGTTGGTCCCCCCCTTTGCTGCTATAACAGCCTCCACTCTTCTGGGAAGGCTTTCCACTAGATGTTGGAACATTTACTGCGGGGACTTTCTTCCATTCAGCAACAAGAGCATTAGTGAGGTTGAGCACTGATGTTGGGCGATTAGGCCTGGCTTGCAGTCGGTGTTCCCAATTCATCCCGAAGGGGTTGAGGTCAGGGCTCTGCAGGCCAGTCAAGTTCCATTTCTGTTGGGAACTGACGTTGCTTCCAGAGGCAGTTTGGTACTCTGTAGTGAGTGTTGCAACCGAGGACAGACTATTTTTCCGCGCTTCAGCTCTCGGCGGTCCTGTTCTGTTTGCTTGTGTGGCCTACCACATCGTCGTTGTTGCTCCTAGACGTTTCCACTTCACAGTAACAGCACTTACAGTTGCCAGGGGCAGCTCTAGCAGGGCAGAAATTTGACAAACTGACTTGTTGGAAAGGTGGCATCCTATTTTGGTGCCACGTTGAAAGTTACTGAGCTCTTCAGTACGGGCCAATGTTTGTCTATGGAGATTGCATGGCTGTGTGCTCGATTTTATTCACCTGTCGGCAACGGGTGTGGCTGAAATAGCCGAATCCACTCATTTGAAGGGGTGTCCACATACTTTAGTGTACCTTTTGAGTTGCTTGTATAATGTTGAGAATTACAGTTGAATTGCATATACATGGCTATGCATTCTATAACTTAATGTATATAATTCTTAACATTCATCTCCATGTTTTGTTTTTCTACCTCAGAATAAAAAATTGTAGTAAACTTGTGCTTATTTCTGGTGAATGTAGTTTATATAATGCAAATCACAAAATGTAAAGGTTTCTTCCAAATGTGTTGTCTTCATGACCTGCTGTGCTAAGCTGCTGTTTATTTGGGACATTTTCATTTTGTGGCATTAACTAAGGAAGGAACATTCAGGAACTTTCTAAAATCAAATTTTATTTGTCACATGCACCGAATGCAACAGGTGTAGACTTAACCGTGAAATGCTTGCTTACTAGCCCTTCCCAACAATTCAGAGTTTAAGCTGCAATATGTAACTTTTGGGCGAACTGACCAAATTCACGTAGGATTGTGAGTTATAGATTTGGCATTCTACTTGAAAGCAAGTCTAAAGAGGTATATCTGTTCTATGTGCTCTATTTCTATGCTTCCCGTTCTTAAGTTTCGTTTTTGTGACTTACTTTCGTTTTTGTACACCAGCTTCAAACAGCTGAAAATACAACATTTTTGGTTATGGAAATATATATTACACAGTGGTTTAGATGGTACAATGATTCTCTACACTATACTTGCTTGTTTTGTCATAACTGAAATTAGGCAAACTATTAGAATTTTTGCAACATGGAGGGATTTCTTTATATTGCACGTTTTAAAAAATAATCAGAAAAATATTAACACAAGCAGCAGAATCGTTTATTTTCCATTCATAATTGCTGCCTCCATAAAGATCCTTTTAATTCACTTATTATAGGTCTCTATAACCAGGTTTCCATCCAAACATTTCATGCAGATGAATGACTAGCTGAGCTGACTAAACTCCACTCCATGGTGAAGGAAGTTTCTGATGAACTCCACCAATGGAGTAGAGCAGAGACCAGGCTTTGTGGTATTCAGCTCTGACTACATCGATTCGCCCAAGGTCAATACGCTAACCTTGTACCTATGATTGTCCTTTGTTTGCTGAAATCCACACTTTTTCAATAAATGTTAATCAAATACAATCATAGACTGCTCATTGCTGTTGCTCTAAGATGGCAACTCAGTGCAAATGCGCATGTGCCAATTGAATCTCAACGAAACGGTCGGTGGTTGTATTTGATTACGTTTATTGAAAAAGCATGGATTTCAGCAAACAAAGGCACACAACTACAGAGGACAAACAGGTACAAGATTAGTGTTTCATAATACATAAGTATTGATCTTGAGCGCCTCGATGAAGTCGGAGCTGAATTCCACAAAGCCTGATCTCTGCTCCACTCCGTTGGTGGAGTTCATCAGAAACTTAATTTAACTTAATGAATGACCAGATGCATAAAAAAAGTCACAACAGGCCTTATGTCAAACTTCCCAATGTCGACAACACAATACGCTGGACAAGGTGGGATATTTTTTTGTCGGTTAAATAGATTGTGCGACAATTGCAGTGGAAATGCATTTATGCCCAAGTATTATTAGAAAACCATAATGTCACAGTAAACTTGGAGTCACATGATGTTTTAGCCTACTACCACTGTGACATGGAAAAGCATGCAGAGTTTGATGGAATAAGTTACCATCACGTATGGTGGTTAAGTGCACGGTGATGAGCGTGCACATTTCCAAAAAATATTGAGGGTAGGCTATCATTTGAATGATGCTGGTGACATGATGATCGGTGCCTGGCTGCCAATTATTTTCTTTTAAATAAAAGGAACTTCCTTTTATCCATATCTCATCAAATGACCTGTACCCAATACACTTTATCAGCTAACTGTTGTCAATAGGCCTAGAGCATGTGCCAAAGCCAGATTGGGCAAGTAGGCTATGCTATTTGTCGCAACAGTTTTTGTGACAAAATCATCCGTAGAGTTAAATTCTACGGAAGCACATTAAACTTCAGTTTTTTTTATTCAGTACATGGATTCTCCGGTACTTTGTATACTTTTTAGCCAGTAGTTCTGAAAGTAGCGCTCATGAGCCAAAAGCGGTCCCCTAAAATGGTGTACTAAGTCACGTGCAGATATGTGCACCACGTCATTGCTCTCTTGCTCTGCTGTGTGTGCATCATGTGCATCTTGCTAGCTCTCACTTGCTAGGGGGCTGGCCAGTTGCTTTCGAGGGATTTCATGGTTAATTGAGTTAAAACAGTAATTCTGCTCATAGATTATGCATGTATGAACTACACATTGACACATCCAACCCAAAGCGGGAGGTTAAAAAAATACTTTGTATTCGCCAAAGTTCCGGAGCACTACATCAACAGTAACGACATTTACATCCACAGTTTTTATGCAAGTAAAGTCATACCATATAAAGAAAATCACGAGAGCTGTGATGGTACAATTTTATGAATGCCGACAGATCATTTGTTACTTTGACATGGAGAGATTTTTTTGTGTCTGTAAAATGTATTATGCGAGAAATGACGGTGGAAACGCCTTTATTTGCAAATATTGATATAATAACCATCGTATCGAATGTAAACTTGGAGTCACGCGATGACATGGTGTGTGGTCCTCCCACTACAATTTGGGGAAACCATGCAGTTTATGCTACAGATTAAATAAATTATGAAATTCACAGGGTGGTGAAAGTGCACAGTTATATTGATGCCCCTTTCCAATATATATCGAAGGTCTTATTCTGGTGACATGATGATCGATGCTTGACATAATCTCATCATGTAGACTAGCCTACCCACACTGTATCTTAGAGCTGTTGGCTAGAGCATACAGGATGTGCGAAGACCAGAGTAGGCACATTTGCTATTAAACACAATCGTTTTTGTGACAAAACTATAGGTAGAGTTGAAAATGCAATGGAAACATATTGAACTTGAGCTTTTTATTCGGTACATGGAAAATATATGTGAAAAAGTACATTTTGTGTGCACTATGTCATCACGCTCTGAATGATGAATGAAGTCCATTTGGTGGAAACACCACTGGTAGGAAAATTTGCATATTTTCTTTATGCGTATTCTAGAATATTCACATGAAAATATGTTGCAGTTTATGGCTGCCCCTGCATTCTTTGAAAACTGTAGGAGGTGTCTTGAAATAATATGTAGCCTTTTTAGTGAGACATTAACCAGGTTTCCATCCAACCATTTCATGGAGATGAATGACCTGACTCATAAAAAAGTCACAACAGGCCTTATGGAAACAGCAAATTTGTCTGTAAAATTTCCCAATATCGACAAAACAAAATATGCTACATTTTTTTCTTGGTTAAATAAATTATGCGAAAATTGAGATGTAAACGCTTTTATTCGCAAATATTGATAGAAAAACCATAATGTCGCAGTAAACGCAATGATGTTATAGCCTACTACGACATGGAAAAGCATGCAGAGTTTATAGGCAGATATAATAAGTTATGATGAACTTGAATTATTTAATAACTTTATAACTTATAGTGGTTAAGTGCACAGTGATGAGCTTCATGCAAATGTCCAATAAATATTGAGGGTAGGCGATCATTTGAATGATGCTGGTGACATGATGATCGGTGCTTGGTTGCCAATTATAAAAAGACAACAAGGCAACAGTAAACAGTTCATCCCCCACGAATGATGCAGCGACCCCCTGTGTAATTTTGTAGATGCCGGATCTCTATGGCAAGACGCATCATTCACCCAAGTTTTGTCAAAATCGGGCCAGTGCTGTCTGAGATATCGCGTGTGACAAACGTACTAACGGACGAAAACAGATCCACAGTTCCCTCCCCGATTTCATTGTGGGGGACAATTGTCTTGTTTTTATCTGTATTTCGTCATATAGGCAAGGCCTAAACTACCCTGTCCACTTTATCAGCAAACTTGTCTGTAGAGCATGCACCAAAACCAGATTGGGCAAGTATGTGTGACAAAACCATCCGTAGAGTTGAAAAATGCGGTGGAAACACATTCAACTTATTTTTTTATATACGGTACATTAAAAAGTTAGTGCAAAATAGGTTTTATTGCACTATGTCATCACAAACAGCCTTTTATCTGCTAAAAAGTAAATTTGATGGAAATACCGCTCTGGTGGGAAAATGTATCATATTTTTTCTATGCAGATTTTAGAATATTCGCATGAAAATCTGTCGCCAATTGGATGGAATCCTAGCTACTGATACTTGAGAGTGGGCAATGGGACAAAATAGCATTTGGGTACACGGACTTCACCTCAGCAGCTCAGCTTTTCCCATATTAATTTGGCCTTTTGTGCACACTGATCAGCACAAACATTGCATAGTCAAAACATTTGTAGGAAATGCATGGTGAAAAATTTAAAATTCCCATCTCCCATTGAGGTGAAAGTTGTTTTAGAGAAAGATCATTAGTAAATCTTGGTTAATAGTAGCATAATCCATAGCATAGCCTAAAGTAGACAATATGTTTATCATTGCACCACAAAATAATATTTGTGAAACAACTACAATAATGTCTTTACCATGCATGGGAAATGTTGCTGGGCTGTCTTTGTTTTGCTCCTAAAAGGACGTGCCTGTGCCAACCAATGAGAGAAAAGAATGGGTGTGGTGGTATGACGTATAGATGCAAACCCTACGTGCAAACCGTGCAACCCCCCTCGATTTCAGCCTATTGCCTGGCGCAACCAGCAGCATTTCTTCATTCGATTCACTACTTGGCACTGAACGGTCGTGTCTACTCTGCTGTTTGAATAAACCCGAGACGCAGATTTTCTAGATTGATTAAAGACACATTGCATGAAATCCAAGCAAGCCTGATTCTACATTTCCTTTCATCTAATTAATTCAAACTGTAGGCTATTTAGTATTCATTTTAAGACAACATGAAGACGAAATTTATCAACGGGGTGTCATCCTCCCCTTCTATGTCGTTGGGTTTGTTGATCACTGAAAATGCACTTGAGGTCCAGCCAGACACTGAGGATGAATGCAAGGACATCATCCGGCCGGATGAGCCCGACCTGGACACGAAGCGTAAGGCGTATTTATGGTGCAAAGAATTTCTCCACGGTGCGTGGAAAACGGTGACAGAAGAGGACTTTCAAATCAGCTTAATAAGGTAGATATAATCTTTGAGCACATTCACCATTATTTATCATGATTTATTTTTCATATATAACTTATCATGATTTATTTTTCATATATTACACAGAGAAACAGTTATTTGCTGCGTTTGCAACTGCACAGGATACATTTTTCTCTCCCTAGTCATGATGGTATGGAGGACCAAACCTGCCATAATTATAAATGAATAAATAAATGCACACATAAATAAATGAATAAATAAATCCATATAAATAAATGAGCAAGGAAATACAAAAATACGGACCAAAATGCATTCATTTTTCTCTACATGTCTGTATGTATTCAAGTATTTATTGATCTATTATCTAATTATTCACACTTCAATTGTATTAATTTATATATTTATTTATTTATTTCTTCCTCCAATATGATAATGATGGGGGGGGGGGGGGGTGTCAATCAAACGTCTGTGGGTGGTATCTAACACACTATTGGTTGATCAATTTCACTGAGTGTTGCTTTTTTCTGGCTGATGGTCTGAAAAGTAAACAATCAAACTACACACACTTGAGAGATTTACAACTGGTAGATAACTACATTTTTACATTTTACATTTTAGTCATTTAGCAGACGCTCTTATCCAGAGCGACTTACAGTTAGTGAGTGCATACATTATTTTTTTTCATACCCCCGTGGGAATCGAACCCGCAACCCTGGCGTTGCAAACGCCATGCTCTACCAACTGAGCTACATCCATGCCGGCCATTCCACTGCGCCACTCGGGAGGTTACAGTAGCCCACTTCTTCTGGCAAGTAGTATGGCTGCAATCAGTAGCTAGAGATTTGGCAGTGATGGCTAACGCTGCTGAAAACAACACCTCTCCAGATGACCTGCTTTTCCGTGTGGAGGTGTAACGGAGCTCTTGAAAACTTGAAAACTCTAGACGGCATTCTGCCTTCTCCCTACAGTTCTGAGACATTAGTTTCGCCCACGACTGCCTAATGTTTACTACAATCCGGACGCTGTGTTTTAACGTTTGGAAACGTCAATAATCATCGCTTGCAATATGGCTTTTGAAACATATGGCCCTTAGCTTACATCAGCGAGAAATAATCCTTCAAATAAAAAAGATACACATAGTGTAGCAGTTTTGCACAGATCCATACAGCTATGTGTGCCTCCATCCAATGAAACTACACTTCCCGAGCTTACACACGGGTGTTCGGAGAATGCTAGATAGCTACATAGCACAGGTGGTCACCTCTTGTCTTCCATCTGTTTTCAGTAAACAAACGCTGTAACATGGAGATATGGCCATGTGGGAACACTAACCCTATCAAGGTGTGTCAATTTAACCTTTTGTGTTAAAAAAAATATTTATTGCTGATATGAAAGATAAGTTCCTTATGCTTTCAAACCCGTACCGCAAATGATACATGTTAATGTTCAGACGGATCTTAACAAAGCTCCCCCATACAGAAGACGCCTTCGTCCAATGACACTTATGTGTAATGTAATGGAACTGAGAGTCATGATCAAGGGCTAAACGGAGGTAAGAACATACCATAACCTCACTCCACAGCTACCTTGAAATGTAACCGATGGAGCTATCCAATTGGTTCGCACGTTGTCAAGCTGGCAGTCACATGTTGGCGATGTAGAGGACCCTCGTTCAAGCCCAGACAGTGGCAAATTCAAGGAGGCAGCGCTATATGCTAAACTAGCACACTGACCCTGATTATAAGGGCATGCATCGAAAACTTGGGTCTAGCTGTTACAACGGGCACAGAGGTGAACCCGTTAGTTCTTTGGAGGAAGTTGCCCAACGACTTAACCAGAGTTCAGGTGATAACAGAGAGTCCTGGTGCAACACACCATATACAATCGCCCTCTGGGCCACCATAATCTCACCGTCTTTCAACTGGTCGTTCAGTACAGTACCGTTTCTGTTTAATTTAATGTTGAACACTGTTCTGTTGTACTGAACGCACCCCAGGCAAATGCAATCGAGCAACGTGCCGTGACATTGAATAACCAATGGTTTGCTAGATACATACGTTACCTTGACACCCCCTCATCATCATATTGGAGGAAGAAATACAGAAATAAATAAATGAAAAAATAATATATATTTATAAAATGAATGAAAGTGTGATTCATTATTTAAATAATTATTTATCTATATGTGTTCATTCATTCATTCATTTATCTATTTATGTGTGCATTTATTAATTTATTCATCTATTTAAGTGTGCATTTATTTATTTATAATTATGGCATGTTTGGTCCTCCATATGATGGTGTCCAGTGGTATGATAGGGTTTAATAAACAGAGAATATGATACTGTGATAAACCTAAGTAATGTAATTTCAAATTAAAACGATTCCTTTGCCCATATGGGATTGTATTGTGTTTTTGTTTTTAAAGGCCCAGTGCAGTCAAAATTCTGTTATTCCGGTTTTATATCAAATTGTACAACAGCCGTTGAAACTAACACTGTCAAAGTGTGAGAAAAAATGTTTTCCTGATAGTTGCTGGCAGGAGTTTCGGCTTTCCATGGTGGTAAATTGGTTAATAGACCAATAACAAAGAGAGTTCCAAACCTCTCTGCTAATAACAGCAAATGTTCAGTTTATCCCTCCCCATTCAGACCACTCCCAGACAGTCCAAGCAGAAATCTTGCTTGAGAAATAGTTTTTTGCGAAAAAGCAGTTTTTTTCCCATTTGAATGGAAGTCTATTGCAGTAAGGTACTTAATTGTTACCCAGAAATGATTTGATATTGATATAAAAACAGCTGCATTGGGCCTTTAAAGCATCACTCCTTATTGGGCTTTTTATCCTAGAATAAAACCGTTATTTAGGCTGCCACATTCATTGGCCTAATCAAAATTCTGGCGATGGGAAAATGTGACGCTTCTATGAGCTACATTCGTTTTTTTTGTAATGTTGTGACAGGGGTGGCCTCAGCAACAAGCTCTTCCTCTGTGCCCTGCCCGACACCCAAACCAGTGTAGTTGATGAACCCCGCAACGTCCTCCTGCGCCTGTATGGAGCTATTCTACAGGTGTGTATGACATCTATAAACAGACAATGAAATGTTGAGTGAGTCAGTCACATCTTACCTAACACATGTTTTTGTCACACAATGACCAGTGTATAAAACATACATTTAACATATTGTTTGTTTGAATTTCATTGACTAAGCTGGTTATCAATATCATGTCTCAATGAAATGAAATGCACCCATATACAGTGGAATCCAAAATTATTTAGACCCTTTATAAGATTGAAGAACACCCTTTATAAAGATTTTATACAGTCATTTTTGCTCATCTTTATCAAGGGTGTCAATAATTTCGGACCCCACTGTATGTGTTGGGTGTCCTTTGAATTTTCTCTTCAGTTTAACTGAAAAATCCCATCAATGTTCTTTAGGCTAAATACGTAGCCTACCGAAAGGCCCAATCTTGGACCCTTAAAGTTAAATTTGATTTAACCTGATTTTCTGGTCATGTTTTAGAATAGAATAGAATGTGATAATATAAAAGTTTAGGAAAATACATAGCCTACATGTATTCCCTAGGCTTTGCTGCTGGAATTTGGGGTTTGACAGAAGGGGAAGGAGATATCTTCTTCCTCAAACATCTTCTTGTGGAAATACCCTCTGGGGCAAATACCCACATGATGGGTGGCTCAAGTCGTGTGTGCATGTGTGTTGGTGTGCGTGTGCGTGTGTATTTGTGTGTGTGTGTGTGTGTGTGTGTGTGTGTGTATCTGCTGTTGTGGTGTGATGTACCCCCATGGCTGTACATGCATATGCTCTTTGCCGTAGGCCTTCCAAAAGGAGCGTGCCTTGAGCACACTTGTTTCCAGGTGATTCCACCATACCATACACGGTACAGTATGAGATCCCTGAAGTCTCAGTATTGTCCACAACAAAGTTAATCCATATTGTTATGGAAGGCAGCTTGTGAATTGATGCACTTGTGAAGATATGGGGGGGGGGAGTAATGATAAGAACTAGTGGTAACTAAATGTCGTAATCTATAAGGGTTGGTGTGAGGTGTGACCCAGGTGCGGTGCAGGATAGGCAGTAGGCAGAGATGGTGAAACAAGGATCTTTACTGGTGGTCCCAAAACCAGGACACAAAATAACAGACTTGTCATGATAAAATAAAGGAGGAGCAAATTGGTCTCCAAAAACAGGCTGACAGCAAACATACGAAATACTAACTACGACTGAAAACAACAATGAAACAGGGAGAACACTTCTCAAGTACCTGTACCTACGTCTCACGATCAGATACTGATTAGTACTGTTTGGCATTGAGAAACTAGCAGAGAAAACTGAGCAAGGGAACACAGGGAAGTGAGGGCATAAATACACAGGTGAACAGGTAGACACAGGTGACACCAATAGGATAATGATTAGTCCAGACAGTGAGTGAGGAGGTGCCTAAGGCTGTCGGAGGATGACACCTAGTGGGTAGCGACCCCCTCCTGTAACAGTCATCTAGTTTAGTTTTTGCATCATGAGCTACTGCCAAATGACACAGGGGGATATCATTCCTGATGACGTGTCACTAGGTCCACATTGCATTGCTCATAGATCACATGATGGGAGGCTAGACAACCCCAAGAGAACCTCCTGGCTAAAATCAGATGACCAGAGAATCCAGGTCAAGAGTCAGTCAAGCTTTCATTCTCCTGTAGTTGGATGGGAATGACAAAAGCAACAACTCTGATCTAAAACATTTTAGCGTAAAACTATTGAAGTAACACTATAGAATAGAAAATACAATGAGACATGCCACATTTCTAATAAGAAGGCATACACCATTTGGGACCTGAGGACGAAGACCCATGAATTAAACATGTACAATTAGCCAGGAGATGTAAAGCAACAAAGATTATTGTAAGAATCAAATAGAATGGAATATTAATATATATTCATTATGGTCTCATGCAGTTTATGAGATTCTTTCTGATTGATAATGGCAGTGGTTACCTTTTATTGCCAATGTTCTCAGTGTAATATTAGCACACCTGTTGCTAGAGCAACACTGTGTTCTTCACTTTTATAGAAAATTGCACAATAAATTTGCCTCATAAATGTTTCGACCATGTCTACAGAGGAATTATAAATGTCTTATCAAACACCTAATATTATTAATAACTCCGAAATTCGTGAGTAACTGGGTTTCCTCAGAGGAGAAAATATTTAAAGTGCTAGTGCATAGATAGGGCAACAATGTCAATATCTGCCTTTTATGCCAAAGCATACTGTCAGTGATCTTGCTGGTGTTGAAGCCAAACCTTAACCTTAACCTTCATGCCACCTGCCTTGATCAGGAGATAACAGATCCCTTTCAGAGAGCTTGTCTCTCTGTTTCTACGACTTTAATATCTCAACAAGTCGGTCGTTAAAAGGCACTGAGCGCTTTTCTATTGCCTTTTTGGCCATTGGACTTGGGGACTATACTGTACTCTGTCATTGTCTCTTTGTGAGGATGCTGTAGCATGATGACTCTTTTGAAAACATACATGTACTCATGGTTAGTTTCTTGCTTTTTCTTTCATTGATAGATGTCCTGTAATAAGGGGGAGCCCAGACAGTCAAACAAAGAAAATCTCTTTCAAGTAAGTAACTAATGGCAAAGGTGATCTACCCATACTATTGGTTAGATTTGTCATCTGATTGTGAAATTCACCACAACGTTTCATTGTTCTGGCCTGGAGACTGTGTTTTTGTATTCATTTTCTGGAGTCTGTGATCAAATAAGTCTGAATAGATTAGCATGAAAGATTTTAGTAATTGCCAATGGACGTAGTGATCACTTTGAAAAATGTAAATCCCAGACCATTCTCCAAACTGGATGATATAAAATGGTGTTAAGAATTAGCCATGTTGAGCCACCACTTTGGATTGAGGTCACCTCTGTTAGTCAGTTGATGATAGCAAGATAAAAAGAGGGTAAACATTCATGACTCATGTTATCCCACCAATGTGTTATTGTTGTCACTCACCTGTCATTGCTATGCCATTAGCATCTTTTGCATGAGATTCACATATATTTATCCTATTAGAGGCTAATCCTACCTTGGCTAGCCAGTCTGTCCCCTCGTAGACCTCACTGCTCCTTAACTGTGTGCATGTTGTAGCTGTTTTCTCGTTACAGTATGATTTAGGTTCACATGGACAACAATATTGCCTGTAAGGTTTTTTAAATACAGTTTAAGGACAACGTGGCATACTTTACTATAGACTCTCACTTTCACATGATGACTAATTACAGTAATGGTGAACACACCACTCATGTCGTCATAACTGTAGCTTCAAGTGGAAAATCCCTGCACCTGCTGTGCCATGGTCATGTGACCGTAGCCCTGGCACAAAGGGGATAGAGTGAGGGCAAGTGGTACCCATCAGATGGTACTGTGGCGCTGAACCTAATGTTAATACATTGTATAGAGGTGCCTATTGTTAATGTCAGTTCAGTTCACTGTGATTTATATAGCAATAATTGTGTAATAAACATCCATGTTTTTAGATGAACTTTCAAACTAATATTGAAACTATTTATGTTTCATTTATTACAGAAGGTGAGACGTTTTGAAACTAAAGAGTTATATAATTCACACATTTGTTAACAATGATTTTTGAATGGAAGTTCCTAAGGTGTTGGCGTATTGATTAACCTTATTCTCAGTCAATGGAGGTACTCATTACCCATGAGTACTACTGATTGAGTACATTATTGCTATCTGTTTTGTTATCCGCATGCACAAACAGCAGGCAGGGGCGTACTTGGTGATTTGGAGGCCCCAGGCAGAGGCCAGTCTGTATTACCTTTTTATTACCAGTCTGTATTACCTTTTAATGTGCCATGAACACAACCAGTCATGATGTTTTCATCTGGTTGTCAAACAAATCACTTCAAAAAGTATGTTACTTTCGCACGTTCATCCCAAAAAATTCCAGCATCCGAACAGTGCACTGTGCACCCACCAACTTTCCTTCAATTCGCAAGTGGCTGAAACTACTGTATCTCACCAGAGAAAGCATCCGAGTGAGCGAAACAGCGCCCCTCTGTCTTATTATATGTAACCCATGTATTTGATGCTGTCTGGACAAAAAGAGTATGACATGTCACTAGTGGCGCATGGAGGGGGGCCTCAAGCGGATAAATTAAAATATATATATATATTATTAGTATAATTTTTTTCAATTATGCCCAGCTCACGAGGCCCCTTGATGAAGTGAGGCCTGAGGCAATTGCCTCTTCTGCTTAATGGTAAATCTGCCACTGACAGCAGGATTTGATCATCCAGGTCAGAGCTACATTTATTGACAGGGAAATAATTTTCCAAAGACAATATGTTGTCAATTCAACACTATTTCAGACCGGTCTGCACTAGTTACGGTGGACATTTGTACCATTCAAGTCTATGACCATTGAAATGCATTGGGATTTATGCAAATGTGGTTGCAGTGTGAAAAGTATAAGTAGTGTCAAAATGTTTTTTTCAAGCACACTGGCCAATGGTAGTCTGGACGTTTTAAAGTTGTTTTGGTGTTTGTAGCTTTTACGGTTTTGGCTCTAGAGATTCCAGCAGAATAATAATAATAAGTATGAACAGTTTCTAAAGTTGTGCTTTGCTTTCAGCAAGTACACCTAATTAGGAAATGTGGACCACAGTAGTGTTTTTGAGGAAGTGTGATTTCCTTCCATTTCTCAGAATATTTGTGTTCACATCTGGACAGGCCACAGTGGACCTCAGTATCCTGATGAAAGGGAGATCACATTGTATCACTTCCTGTTCCACAGATTAGTTGTAATTATGTATTTAAATTGACAAATCATACTGTATATTGAGTTGCAACAGAGGAAATGGTAGCCATTAAAAAAGGCACTATTAATATTTTTCAATAATGAGGAAGGTTGGACGAATGGAATGCTGAACAGTTGCACAACAAAGTGGTCATCAACAGACCAGGATGTGGATGATAGATAGCATTGTTGATTATTAACCTGAAAAGTAGGCTACTTAGCCAATTGAATTTGAAAAGCCTTGCCAAACAACCTGTTGTGATAGAAATAGGTCGTAAAATAAAAGTCGTTGGGAAACTGAGGGTGACTGCTGACCCACTTTTAGAGTGATTTCATGGACATGGAAATGCATTGTACGTGTAGACCTACATACAGGCTGCAAGGCCACAATGTGTGTCAGGATGATTATGATAACAGAGATAACAGGTTGAGCAGATTTCCATTTGGCATCCATCAGCACCACAGAGATATATTGCGTAATATCATCGGAGCAGAACCCATCTTTAAATGTGTCAAATATGAATACTTGCAGAGTTTAAAATTGGCTTAGTTGTTTTTAATAGGTCTGCCACACCAAGGATCATTTTGGTTTCATATGTAAAAATTGTCTATGGTTGACGGGTCTCACCCGTTTTATGGCATGACATCCACACAATGGATAGACCTAAAGATGATTACAGTATGTCTCTTTTGACTAGTGGGAAAGCCATCAAAGATGAGTACTGAAGAAGTTCCCCATGTTGTCAGTGATTATTTACTTATCATGTTTTCCCCATATGAGGTCAGTCCAAAGTGCATACAACACGCCATAAGCAAATCACTACTATAGTTTGTTTTCCTCCTATTTGGCTTCCGACAGAAAGAGCTGAGTCACTTTGAAGTGCACACTTAGCAAATTCCTTGCCCAACTGTCAGAGTCCACAGATCACTGCCAGCTCATAGCTGGTTACAGTAGATAAGGGCACCTGTTCACAGCCGTGGGAAGTAGTGGTGCTGATAAATCGAAATCCCCCCCAAAATATATATATATATATATAAAATCAACTTTATCCAACCAAATTAGTGCACTAGGCCTTTAATATTCCTGAATGAGCAGAGAAAAATACCCATCGACAGCACCTCCACCCCAAAACATCTTCCCGCGGCCATGCACCTGTTGGCTACACCGTATTTGGATTGTACTCAAGGCTATATTTGTTACGATTAGCGTTACTACTGTTTAGTACTGTATTTACAGTGTAACAATGGTAATTATTTTTAATGTACTTAGCTACATTAATATACAATAATAAGAACCCTTTATTTTTAAGTATCAACATATATTTATCTGTAAGTTAACATACTTTTCTAATAAATTGTGTCAGACTGTATAGGCCTATCTTTTGAATTCTAGCTATTTCAGAGCTCTGGCCTCAGATAATTGCTCCTGACACCATTTTCCTCCACAGTTGAAAAGCCCTGGTGTCTTCTTCGGTTAAGCAGCCACAATTACTGATTGATGCTGTTGGCAGGCTCTGCCTCTCTCAGTACAATTGGCCCCTTGTTTAATTATTCTCCTCATGTGGAACGCAACTCACTTCTTCCCTCTCTGGTCCAAATCTGCTTTTAAACGTACCACCATGATGGACAAAAATACCTGCAAAGTCACTGACAGAGTTGGGAATGTAATTTGTTTGAGGTAGCCATTTTACAGTTACCATGACTCAAATATCTGGATCTGTGTATAATTGATTTATGAAGCCGTAAGCTTGTTTCATGTTATGTAAGGTCATCATCAGCTTCCGCTGTCTAAGCTGTTCTAATTTCATCCTATAGAATTGAATGTGTTTCTGTCCTACTAACCCCCACTTGATGGAAAATCACAGCTAACAATGGACCGACCACAGGTTGGCTGCAGTCATTTTTAGCTGATCCTATTAATTGTCTTCTCTTCCGGTTATCATGAAAACATTAACCGATGACTAAGTCATTTTACCTCATCATTTCTAAGGTTGGTTGTGCAAGACAGCAGTGACTGACAATCATGAAGTTCATTAGGAGAAGTAAACAAGCCCAACTTTCTCTCATTCACCTGTCTGTTTGTGTGCATGCTAATTGCTGTTCTACGGTGAGGGAAAAAAGTATTTGATCCCCTGCTGATTTTGTACGTTTGCCTACTGACAAAGACATGATCAGTCTATAATTTTAATGGTAGGTTTATTTGAACAGTGAGAGACAGAATAACAACAAAAAAATCCAGAAAAACGCATGTCAAAAATGTTATAAATTGATTTGCATTTTAATGAGGGAAATAAGTATTTGACCCCTCTTAGTTCTTGGTGGCAAAGCCCTTGTTGGCAATCACAGAGGTCAGACGTTTCTTGTAGTTGGCCACCAGGTTTGCACACATCTCAGGAGGGATTTTGTTCCACTCCTCTTTGCAGATCTTCTCCAAGTCATTAAGGTTTCGAGGCTGATGTTTGGCAACTCGAACCTTCAGCTCCCTCCACAGATGTTCTATGGGATTAAGGTCTGGAGACTGGCTAGGCCACTCCAGGACCTTAATGTGCTTCTTCTTGAGCCACTCCTTTGTTGCCTTGGCCATGTGTTATGGGTCATTGTCATGCTGGAATACCCATCCACAACCCATTTTCAATGCCCTGGCTGAGGGAAGGAGGTTCTCACCCAAGATTTGACGGTGCATGGCCCCGTCCATCGTCCCTTTGATGCGGTGAAGTTGTCCTGTCCCCTTAGCAGAAAAACACCCCCAAAGCATACTGTTTCCACCTCCATGTTTGATGGTGGGGATGGTGTTCTTGGGGTCATAGGCAGCATTCCTCCTCCTCCAAACACGGCGTGTTGAGTTGATGCCAAAGAGCTCGATTTTGGTCTCATCTGACTACAACACTTTCACCCAGTTCTCCTCTGAATCATTCAGATGTTCATTGGCAAACTTCAGACGGCCCTGTATATGTGCTTTCTTGAGCAGGGGGACCTTGTGGGCGCTGCAGGATTTCAGTCCTTCACGGCGTAGTGTGTTACCAATTGTTTTCTTGGTGACTATGGTCCCAGCTGCTTTGAGATCATTGACAAGATCCTCCCATGTAGTTCTGAGGTTATTCCTCACCATTCTCATGATCATTGCAACTCCACGAGGTGAGATCTTGCATGGAGCCCCAGGCCCAGGGAGATTGACAGTTATTTTGTGTTTCTTCCATTTGCGAATAATCGCACCAACTGTTGTCACCTTCTCACCAAGCTTGGTGATGGTCTTGTAGCCCATTCCAGCCTTGTGTAGGTCTACAATCTTGTCCCTGACATCCTTGGAGAGCTCTTTGGTCTTGGCCATGGTGGAGAGTTTGGAATCTGATTGATTGATTGCTTCTGTGGACAGGTGTCTTTTATACAGGTAACAAGCTGAGATTAAGAGCACTCCCTTTAAGAGTGTGCTCCTAATCTCAGCTCGTTACCTGTATAAAAGACACCTGGGAGCCAGAAATCTTTCTGATTGAGAGGGGGTCAAATACTTATTTCCCTAATTAAAATGCAAATCAATTTATAACATTTTTGACATGCGTTTTTTCTGGATTTTGTTGTTGTTATTCTGTCTCTCACTGTTCAAATAAACCTACCATTAAAATTATAGACTGATCATTTCTTTGTCAGTGGGCAAACGTACAAAATCAGCAGGGGATCAAATACTTTTTTCCCTCACTGTATGTGTCTGCAGGGTGCTGAGGCCATGGTGCTGGAGAGTGTGATGTTTGCCATTCTGGCAGAGCGGGAGCTTGGGCCCAAACTCTATGGCATCTTTCCCCAGGGCAGACTGGAGCAGTTTGTCCCTGTAAGTGCCTCTGTAAATAATAATTGATAGGGAAAACAAATATTCACGACTGTGTGCGTGTCTGTGCATGCGTGCATGTATGTGTGTACAGGTGTACTATCTTTATTTGATCACTCTGTTGTCACAGATAATTTTCCTGTGCAGCAGTAAATTCCAATTTGTAGTGTATTCAAGGTTTAAAAAGTTTGTACTTTCCACTTTAAATGTCAGACTTGATTTCCCCTAACAAAAAATGTAGCAACCTCTACATAAATGTCCATTAATTATAATCAATAGATTGTATTGATTATACTTTCTTTTTATACATGAATTATTATCCACAATTCCTGTAGGATTATTTTCCTGCTGTGAGAAACTGTTCAAATTAAGATAGGAAATCTGTAGGGTCTGTTCATGTCTGGGTGTGTTCTGTTCAACGATGTGTGTTTAATTTACAGTATGTACAAAGGGAATTAATTTACAATTAGTAATTTATCAGACGCTCTTATCCAGAGCGATTTACAGGAACAATTAGGATTAAGTGCCTTGTTCAAGGTCACATTGACAGATTTTTCGCTTAGTTGGATTTGAACCAGCGACCTTTCGGTTACTTGCCCAACGCTCTTAACTGCTAGGCTACCTGCCGCCCTAACCATACTAAACCATACACTTTTTAAAGTGGCAAAAATTGCTTGAAGTGATGTAATTTAACACTTTGTGCAAGCGAGAATATTCTTGGTAAATTGAATCCATGCCCACATTGTCCAGGCATTGTCTTAACAAGAGTTCTCTTGCTAAATTCAACCCACGCCCTAGGCTAGACAATTTAATCAATTTAAATAGGTACAGACCATGAGTATAGTCATGTTCTATCTGAATCACCAGTTTTGCTTGTATGATGGATATCATAATCAATTTTTGGAACAGCATTAAATATGTTTTAGTTATTCACTTAAAGTCCTCAGAGACCAAGAAACCACAGAGGTCAAGCAAATGGCCTTTAAGCAGCTTCTGCTGTGATAAGATCTTAAACTGTTAGCGTTGACAGTGGCCAGAGTGGAGGGCAGAAGGCAATGGAGCTGGTTATACCCTCCATTATTTTTGACAACCCTGTCAGCAGTTGGTAATGTTGTCTCTGTTTATTGTTGCATAAAAAGTTGTCAGCTTGATGGGATTTAAGACAACCTGTATTCAGCTAAGACTTGAAGACCTGGCTTCCTTGACCTCTTTGTGTTAATAGAGTCGCAAACTGGACACAGATGAGCTGAGCATGCCAAGCATATCTGCTGAAATAGCTGAGAAGATGGCCAAGTTCCATGGTATGAGGATGCCTTTCAACAAGGAGCCCAAATGGCTGTTTGGAACTATCGACAAGTGAGTTGGTCTCTTATTATGCAATTTCCAATAGAAACTGGAAACCCTCTTTGCCTATCCTGACCTCACTGAAAGCTCCAAACAAACATTAGCTATCACACATATCTCCCCTTAGAAAATGGTTGCTAGTTTGCTTTTGTGGGTCAATCCTCAAGTCACCTGGTTTGAGAATAATAGTGAGCCAAAGTATGTTTCCCGAAGTAATTTATTTGTAGAATAAAACAACACGCCAATAACAGTCTTGGTGAATGTTCTTTGCCTTCCTTTTGATTATGTGTTTTATGAATGGCCTTGGTGTACAGTAAATTGACTTACAGTATTTGCTTACAGTTAAAATAGGGCATTTACATTGTTAAAAGGATTAGCTTATCAGAGTGAAATATCAACTTGTTGACCTGCTTCATGGTCTAAGGATAGTTTCAAGGTAATCACAGAGAAAAAGTTGCTTGTCATCACAAATAATGTGTCATTTGTGTAGACAAGAAGTGCATTATCATCATCGCTGTGATAAAATAGTGATATCTGTCTTATCTCTAAACTCTATAACCTCTTGTATCCCATACGTTCCCTGACTTTCCTGATGTTTCCCCTATCCACAGGTACCTGAACCAGGTGATGAGACTCACCTTCACCAGGGAGTCCCACATTCGCAAGTTTGCCCGTCTGAGGAGCTGTAACCTGCCCCAGGAGATGGAGAGTCTCAAGTAAAGCCCACCACACCACCCTGGTTCCTGAATCACGTACACAACACCTTTTAGGAATAAGCACACAGGAGCAGACATGATTACATGTATATGCAGTAATTCAGTTATGGAAAAGTCATATGGTGTTTTACAATAAATTGGTGTGGAATCCAGTCAACAACAATAAGCAAATAATTCCATACAAAGACTGTTGTCTGAGTGGTTGAAATATGTGCTGGAATTTGGTATTCTGTTTTTTGGGGGGTAAACAGTGAATTAGTGGACATGTAACTCCTGCTTATTACCTGCTGAAATATGGCTTGCTTTTCTTTGTAGATCTTTGTTGGACTCCACTCATTCCCCTGTTGTTTTCTGCCACAATGACTGTCAAGAGGGTAAGGGGTCTTAGGCATAGTATTACTTTGTGTAAAGCTAGTGAAGATAATCTTTTAAATACAATGTATTGTACTGTGTGCATGTGTGTGGTGTAATAATTATTCTCTCATCCTCTAGGAAATGTCCTGCTCCTCAGTGGTCGTGAGGGCTCTGACGGACAGAAGCTCATGCTGATTGACTTTGAATACAGCAGTTATAACTACAGGTCGGTTCATGCTCAGGCCCTAGTGTATACTGTAATCATCCCCTTTATTACTGTAATCATCTTCTTTATTAATGTAATCATCCCTTTTATTACTGTAATCATCCCCTTTATTAATGTAATCATCCCTTTTATTACTGTAATAATCCCCTTTATTACTGTAATCATCCCCTTTATTAATGTAATCATCCCTTTATTACTGTAATCATCCCCTTTATTACTGTAATCATCCTCTTTATTAATGTAATCATCCCCTTATTACTGTAATCATCCCCTTTATTACTGTAATCATCCTCTTTATTAATGTAATCATCCCCTTTATTACTGTAATCATCCTCTTTATTAATGTAATCACCCCCTTTATTACTATAATCATCCCCTTTATTAATGTAATCATCCCCTTTATTAATGTAATCATCCCCTTTACTTCCGAATCAAAGACAAAACATGTATACTGAATGTACAAAATGTACAGCATTTCTTTGGGTTTCTGAGAGCTGAGACACATTCCTCAGAAAAGGAGCTAGATTCAGCAGTAAACATTGGCCACACTGTACAGTGTGGGAGGGCTTTGTCCGTCCAAGGTGACACTGTCTCTGCAGAATGTAAATCTTATGTGATGTCTACTGCAACACAGACAGGGATAGAAGGAATTTACCCAGGTAGTTTGTATTTATCATGTTTTTTTTCAACATTTAAGACAAGAATGTAGCCACACATATTTGAGATCCAAAACCTCCAATGTTTTGGCTGCCTTCAACTGTGTTTCTGAGTCTTATGTCATCAGGTAAACAAGCCAGCCAGACCTACCAAACAATCCATCCAGTCTCTTACTGCAGTTTTTCCTGTACCACTTAGTATTTCGTTTTTTTTTGTAAAGTATGGAATTCATGAGAGCCCCATTTCTCAGAAAGGACCTTCACTGTTATTGGCCTTGGCTCACAGCTAAGTTAGTACCGTCAAAACAGCCCACCCCCGCCGTCCTGACCCTCAGGCTCTCTCATGGTCATTGTACATCACCACACGTGCTCCTCATTCTCAAGACGGATCAGGTTTCACTGGGCTCTCCTGTCTCCTCCCCAAAGCTTTGATTGTATGGGGGGCTAGGGTAAAACATAGGGCATGTTTAGGGAGCTGAGTGTTCATGCTAAAGAACTGGTTAAGTCACATGGACTTATGTACGAAATGACAACAGTCCAAGGAGGCCCATATTAGACTCACATTTTGTTTGTTTTCCCACCGTTTTTCTTCCAAGTCGGTTTCGTTGGCAGCTAGTGTGGCTCGCTTGAAAGGGCTTGAACTGTACAGGTTTTCAGCACTGACCCATATTGCCACAGCCTGGGGTAGAGAAATATTGGAATGGAGTTTAGCCTCCAAGTTGTTCCTTTTGTCTGGTTTCCACAGCAACTGCAATTCCCTACACAAAGAGCTACCTATTTTCACTCCCTTTGTGAGAACTTCTCTTCCTTTGCTATGGGAACATTTTACTATAGGTCTAGTTTTCATTTGGGCAAGCAAGGAAAGAGCCCAAGCAATCATAATCCTGAATCCAATGTCAGTCAAATCAAATCTTATTTGTCACAGGGGCCGAATACAACAAGTGTAGACCTTACACTAAAATGCTTACTTTACAATCCCTTCCCAACAATGCAGACTTAAAAGAAGAAAATAAAAACACAAGAGAAATAAAACACAAGAATGAAGCTATATACAGGGAGTACCAGTGATGGACTGAGCTGTCAGGGCCTGATTAAAGCAGGGGCTGACGCCCTGGGGCCGACGCCCTGGGGCCCAAGCCCTAAGGGGGCCCTTGAGGCAGAGAATGTACTTTTTTTTTTACTGCAACCTCCAACCACAGGAACCCACTCTCAATGAGTGTAGATAGTTTGCTGCCGCTCTGCTAATCATCAGATGGTGGAGGAGAGGAGGAAGGGGGCCCACGTGGGGGGTAACAGATTAATACAAAACCAAAGCCCCGGGGCCTATGATTTGTTAGTCCGACCCTGTGGGCTGTCCGCACCAGCCTTTGTAGTGAAAATAAGCGTATAAAATATATTCTGTTTTCAGGGGATTCGACATAGGAAACCACTTCTGTGAATGGATGTACGACTACACAAATGACAAGTTCCCATTTTTCCATGTCAACTCAAAGAATTATCCCACTAAAGCCCAACAGGTGAGTAAGGATGACAGAATGAAGGCTTTTTGTCCTCTGAATCTGAATAATAATAAATAATAATAATATGCCATTTAGCAGACGCTTTTATCCAAAGCGACTTACAGTCGTGCGTGCATACATTTTTGTGTATGGGTGGTCCCGGGGATCGAACCCACTACCTTGGCGTTACAAGCGCCGTGCTCTACCAGCTGAGCTACAGAGGACCACATGAGTGAATGAGTGGCTTTTTAGGCAAAAGCCATCTAATAACCTTGTGATGTTTATTTTTCAGCTGCATTTCATTGGACGCTACCTGTCAGAGACTGACCAGGGATTTCAGAATCTGAGTGCTGAAGATCAGATGAAACTCAAAGAGGAGCTGTTTGTGGAAGTCAACAGGTGAGGGCCCCAAGTTGAAGTGGCCAAGGCATTCCTCTGGAATGTGGGGCACTGTGAAATTGCTCATGTGTCTGACACACTAGAGTATTTACACCTCATGAGTAATTTATTTTATTTGAGCAGATGCTCTTATCCAGAGCGACTTACTGTAGTGAGTGCATACATTTTTTGTACTGGTCCCACATGGGAATCGAACCCACAACCCTGGCATTGGAAGCGCAATGCTCTACCAACTGAGCCACACAGGACATATGAGGACAAGTTGACTTAGTGTTTTTTTGTCAAATCTGAGGACACCTGTGGTTTAGTACTTATAATGGCCTTCTGTTGAGAGAGCAGCAGTAAATCATAACAATAATGAACCCCTAAGACTGGGCCTCTTGGTTACTGTAAAATGCTCCCTGGGAAATAAAACCCTGGAATCAGTCCAGTAGTGATGAAATAGCATATTTCCATGTGGCTGTTGCTTTGGACCAAAGGTTTGCTCAGTTCACCCAGCTGTATGTTTAATGGACCATACTTTCAATGTGCTTGTCCACTGTTTTATTGAAACATTTGCCTGTTGGTAATTACACAGGTTTGCTCTGGCTTCGCACTTCTTCTGGGGTCTGTGGTCGATGATCCAGGCGAGAATCTCCACCATTGAGTTTGGGTACATGGTGAGTGTCCATTATCTGGTTGTCATGCTTTTGTTTTACGCATTTGTATTTGTAATATAAACAAAACAGCCGTTCTCCCTCCAAAAAAAAATGTAAATGAGAAATGTCCCACAGGACACAGACGTCAGTTCAATGTTTAGTTTTGATTTACATTTGGTTGAGTTGTCAACTAACGTGAATTCAAGCTGAAATCAACAACAAAAATTCACAATGTCATTAAATTTAGTTAAAAAGTTGGGTGAAAAAAAAGACTAAGTTCCCTTACGTTGATAACTTTTTTTCAAATCCAATCAGTTTTCCACGTTGATTCAACGTCATCACATTGAATTTTTTGTTGAAATGACGTGGAAACAACGTCGATTCAACCAGTTTTTGCCCAGTGGGGTATGTTATATACAGATGTAGGATCTTAATTTGATCACTCTTTTGTTGCTGAGGTTTAAAAGGAATGTTAGACTTGATTTGCCCTAATGATAAATGTATCAACCCCTACATTATTTTCCTGCTGTAGCAAACTGTCTCAAATTAAGATCCTACATCTGTAAGACAGGAAATGTAGATGAGCTTCATGATTTACATACATTCACTGAAAACCTGCACTAACACACGGTTATATTGTGACGAGTACTGAGGATACGAAGAGGCAGGACGCAGACGCTGGAATCAACAAGGTAAAGGTTTACTTAACAATGAGAAAGAGAATAACAAAGAGCGAGTAAACGACACAACGCTAACAATTACACACAACAATGACTGAGCAGTCCAGGGCTATATAGTGGTGGTGATGAGATGATGAGGTGCAGGTGCGCTGGAGGTGATTAGGGTGCGTTGGGTTTCCATTCCTGTGTTGCCGAGGTGGTGCACTCAGACCAGTGGCTCAGTAGACCGGCGAATCAGAGCGCCGGAGGGGAGCAACGGGAGGAGACGTGACGCGCGGCTCCCACCGCAGGACGTCACCGGCCATTAGGACGAGGACGAGGAGCGGGCCGGTCAGGGCGGCGACGGTGGAAGTCCCGAATTAGGTTGGGGTCCAGAACGTCCCCAGCCGGAACCCAGCTCCGCTCCTCAGGGCCATACCCCTCCCAGTCCACCAGGAAACGGAGCCGTCCCCCATGGAACCTGGAGTCCAGCAGGTTCCTCACAGCATACGCCGGACTCCCATCAATGTCCAGGGGCGGAGGAACCAGGAACCACTGGCCTGAGGAGAGACACATGAAAAGTAGGTGAGACACGGTAGTGAGGGGGAAGGAGCAGCCGGTACGACACCTCATTAATCTGCCGGAGGACCTTAAACGGCCCCACAAACCGTGGGCTCAGTTTCTTGCAGGGCAGAGAAGGAGGTTTCGAGTGGACAGCCAGACACGATCACCAGGCTGGAATACGGGAGCCTCACTGCGGTGGCGGTCGGCTTGGTCCTTCTGCCGACGAATGGCCCTCTGGAGACGGACATGGGCGGCGTCCCAGACCTGTCCGGCCCTGCGGAACCACTCATCGACAGTGGGCGCATCGGTCTGGCTGGGTGTCCAAGGGGCCATGGCCGGCTGGTACCCCAGGACGAATTGGAAGGGAGTGAGCCCCGTGGAGGAGTGAACGAGGGAGTTCTGGGCATATTCTGCCCAGGGAAGAAACCTTGCCCACTCACCCTGTCGGACCTGACAATGACAACAAAGAAACCTCCCCAGCTCCTGGTTCATGCGCTCCACCTGCCCATTCGACTGAGGCCTATACCCGGAAGTGAGGCTGGCCGTGGCCCCGATCTTCTCCAGGAAAGCCTTCCACACTCGGGAGGTGAATCGGGAGCCACGGTCCGAGGCGATGTCCTCCGGAAGTCCATAGTGCTGGAAGACCTCTTGGAACAGGACCTCAGCGCCCTGGAGAGCAGAAGGAAGACCAGTTAGTGGCAAAAAACTGCATGATTTTGAGAACCGATCTACGACCACCATGACTGTGGTGAAGCTGTCAGAACGTGGGAGGTGTGACCAAGGTCGCTGAGACACTGGTAGAGGAACTTGTTTGCCTACCGGGGCATTCCGAGGTGTCTTCGTTTGGGCACATACGGAACATGAGTTGACATAGCGAGGAAGATCAGTAGCCAAGGTGGGCCACCAGTATTTTTGTGATATAGAATGCAGGGTGCACGTAATACCGGAGTGCCCTGCCGTAAGGGTGGTGTGCGCTCAGATCAGCAGGCGGACACGGACACTGGTGGGTACATACACGCGCCCCGGGGGGGTGTTGGCAGGCGCTGGGTCCTCCTGAGCCGCCAGGCGAATGTCTTCATCCACATCCCAAATGACAGGTGCAACGATGAGAGACGGGGGCAGGATAGGACCCCCCAGATCCTTCCTTTCTCTGGTATGGTGCATCCTGGAGAGTGCGTCGGCTTTCACATTCTGGGATCCTGGGCGGTAGGACAGAATGAACTGAAAGCGAGTAAGAAATTGGGCCCACCTGGCTTGACGAGAGTTCCTCCATTTCACTGCCCGTATATGCTCCAAATTCCGGTGGTCAGTAAGAATCCGGAATGGATGGACTGCGCCCTCCAGCCAGTGTCTCCATTCCTCCAGAGCGAGGACAATCGCCAACAGCTCCCTGTCTCCAACTCCATAGTTCCTCTCTGTAGCGGTAAGCTTTTTAGAGAAAAAGACACAGGGATACATTTTATCTGGCTTACCTTGCCGCTGGGAGAGGACCGCACCCACGCCCTCCTCAGATGCGTCCACCTCCAGGATGAAAGGACAAGATGGATCTGGGTGTTTTAGGATGGGCGCTGTGGTGAACCTCTCCTTCAGCCTCTTGAAGGCAGTGTCAGCCTCAGGGTTCCAGGCCAGCTTCTGACGCCCACCCTTAAGGAGAGAGGTGAGCGGGGCGGATATGGAGCTGAAGGACCTGATGAAACGCCGGTAGAAATTGGCGTAGCCCAGGAAGCTCTTTAGGCCCTTGATGGTGGTGGGGACTGGCCATGACCTGACGGCGTCCGTCTTCTCTCTTTCCATGAACACCCCCTGAGGACTGATCCTGTATCCCAGGAAGGAGATGGCCTGTTGGTGGATTTCGCATTTCTCCCCCTTCACCAACAGGCTGTGTTCCCGGAGGCGGAGTATGACAGCTCTGACGTCCCTGACGTGCTCCTCGAACGTAGCCGAGTGTATCAGGATATCGTCGATGTACACCACCACCTGTCTACTCAGCATGTCTCAGAACACGTCATTGACGAAGGACTGGAACACAGAAGGTGCATTGTCGAGGCCATAGTGCATGACGCAGTATTCATAGTGGCCTGAGGTAGTGCTGAATGCCGTCTTCCACTCGTCTCCTTCCCGGATTTGGATCAGGTTGTAGGCACTCCTCAGGTCCAACTTGGTAAAGTACCGGGCCCCTCGTAGCTGTTCGAACCAGAGGGAGGGGGTACCAGTACTTGGTGGTGACTGCGTTCAGCCCCCTGTAGTCAATGCACGGCCTCAGTCCTCCGTCTTATTTGGCCACGAAGAAGAAGCTGGCGGAGGCAGGAGAGGTAGAGTGTCTGATGAACCCCTGTTTCAGGGTCTCCGCCACATACTTCTCCATGGCCTCAGTCTCCGCCATGGAAAGGGGGTAAATGCGACTCTTCGGGGGGTGTTGTCCCTCCAGCAGGTCAATGGTGCAGTCCCAAGGCCTGTGAGGAGGGTTACACCTAGCCTTTGATGAAGAGAAGACATCGGAGAGATCTGCATACTCACGTGGAATGTTGGGCTGGAGGGCGGACTCCGGACTCTCCACTGACGTGGAACAACCAAAGACCGGCAGGCAGGTCTTCCGGCATGAGGTGGACCAGGCTGTGATCCTCTTGGTGATCCAATTGATGGTGGGGTTGTGTAGTCTGAGCCAGGGCAATCCCAAGACGATCCGGTGAAGGGGTGACGTGACGATGTGGAATGACAGCTCCTCGTGGTGCTCTGGTAGTGTGGGAATGGTGATGGTGATGGGGAGAGTGACGTGCGTAATGGTGCCTGATCCAATCGGTTTATTGTCCAGTGAGGTGACATGTAGCGGAGATGGCAGTGGCACTGTGGGCAACCCCCATTCAGAGACCAGCTCCCTATCTATAAGGTTCCCCGCTGATCCGGAATCTATCATTGCAGTGGAAATGGAAGAGAAGGAATAACCAGTCACCGTTATGATTTTGTGATGGGAGATGACGTAACACTCACGGAGCGACAACGGGAGTCATACCACCTAGAGTGGGAGCCGCCAGGTGATCTGTGGTCCGTGGTAGTGTAGGGGGTGCTGCCCACCTCCATGGGTGAGGACTCGGAGACAGGGCAGCTTCTATAGCTCAGATGGGGTGAGCGTTGAGGCTCCGGGAGGTGTTGGGAACACCGTCTGTCTCTCAACATGTCGTCAAGACGGATGGACGTGGCGATAAGGGTATCAATGTCCATCTCGTCATCCCGACATGCGAGTTCCGTCTTGATGTCCTCCCGTAAGCCTCTCCTGAAGGCAGTGTGCAGAGCACGCTCATTCCAGCCGGAAGACGCCGCCACCGTGTGAAAGCTCAGAGCGTACTCAGACGCAGGCCCCTCTCCCTGTTGTAGCTGGAGGAGACTCTCTCCCCCGTCCTTTCCCTCCGTGGGATGATCAAACACCGCCCTGAACCAAGCGAGGAAGTTGGAGTAGGGAAGCGCCGCGGCCTCACCTCCTTCCCAGACTGCCGTGGCCCAATCCAGCGCCTTTCCTTTAAGTAGCGAAATCACCAGCGCTATCCTGGCTTGGTCAGATGGATATGCGCCAGATAAAGTGAAACCTGTAGCAAGAAGCTGCTACATTTAGTAGTTTTACCGTCATAGCGCTCCGGTACGGTGAGGGGTCCCTCAGAAGTTGGTGATAGCACGGGAACAGGTGGATTGGGGGCACTCGCCGCTCCCTGAAGTGGAACCGGAGCGCTGGGCAGATTATGCAGAGTTTGGAGCACTTCCTGCATGGCGGCGTTCAACTGGGCAAGCTGCTGCTGGTGCTGGTCGAGGCGCTGGGAAACTCCAGGAGGATTACCTGCTGCATCTATTTTCGTAAGGGTGTGTAATTCTGTGATGAGTACTGAGGATACGAAGAGGCAGGACACAGACGCTGGAATCAACAAGGTAAAGGTTTACTTAACAATGAGAAAGAGAATAACAAAGAGCGAGTAAACAACACGACGCTAACAATTACACACAACAATGACTGAGCAGTCCAGGGCTATATAGTGGTGGTGATGAGATGATGAGGTGCAGGTGCTCTGGAGGTGATTAGGGTGCGTTGGGTTTCCATTCCTGTGTTGCCGAGGTGGTGCACTCAGACCGGTGGCTCAGGAGACATTACATATATTAACAGTATTGCACTTTTCATATATTCTACTTTTGTCCAGCTAATAGCCTAACCACCGATATGCCACATTATGGACTAAATGTTTTATTTTACTATGACAGTACTGGTCAAAGGTCAGTGAGTTCCTTGCCATGTTTGGTCTCACAGACTACTCTGAAACTATACACAAGTATTTGCCATGGTCAGGGCAACCTGATAACTGAGAACCACTGGCCATGGTCAGGGCAACCTGATAACTGAGAACCACTGGGAATGTGTCTGACAGTGATTATCGCTGTTATATTTCCTTTCAATGCTGAAATATGTATACCTTTTCTCTCTCTTTATCTATTGTATGAAATCCATTCTGTGCAAAGGTTCCAATATTTTTCTTTCCTCTGTCTGTCCACAGGAGTATGCCATGGCCAGGTTTGATGCATACTTTGAGCAGAAGCGGAGCCTGGGTGTCTAAGCGAGGGACCACATATAGTAACAAGGAGGTGGAAGATAAATGGATTAACAGCGCTTTAGCTGAAATGAATGCAAACAGGGTGTAGGACCATGCTTAATGGGGACCCCCTGCATTGGGAATGTAATGCTCACTATAGTCATTATTGCATGGACCAAAGTGAAACCATGAATATTTGGTTTGGTGTTGAATTATGCGCCATGCATTGCTGCTCAGTGTTTACACAATATTAAGCTCCTAATATTACATATGCTCACAGGGTCAAGATTGTTCTTGGCTTCTCTTTTCTTCAAAGAAATATCAGAAAGATTAAGACGGGATAAAAATCTTCATTCTGAAAGGAGGTCTGAGTTACATTTCTGGGAAGTCCATTCCTGTTTGGAAATGTTCTGGGATAGTGGAAAAAACAGAAGTCTCAATGACCCTTGCTAATTGGAAAGCCACTAATCTGTGACCCAACAGTGATAAGCCAAATGGCCATGTTGACTCAGTGTCTCAACTTCAATTGATTATGTTTGGTTCTTTGCATCCATGCTCAGTTTTCCTCCATTCTTTATCAACTCACGTTCAAATGACGACATATACTCAGTGGCCAGTTTATTAGGTCACCACCCCGTTCCTCCATTCTCTAAAATGACTTGTATATGAAAATATCTGGAACCGCCAATGAGATGGGAGCATCTCTGGCCAACAGCATTTTTTCCCACCTGCAGTACTGTGAATATAATGTGCAAAATGTGACCTGAAACCCAGTAGTAATGGTAACCTCACAACTCTACTCTGTACTTACTCTTACTTTACACAGTCCCCAGAAATGGTTTCAGCTCTGAATATGTCATTGAACCAGTATTGATATTCAAGCAGATATATTCATAATGAACACATTGGATAATACATTGGAAAGTAAGGAAATACCAAGCAGCAAAGCTCTTAGCTTAAACTAAACAGACAAACAAAATAGATGCTTACTGTGTTATTCAGCTGGGTTAAGCAGTTGTAGATAAGGTTGTGAGAAGAACTGTTAACAAGGTGTTACAAAAATCCTCATGTAGAGGTGTTGAATGTTTATAATGATATCTTTAGAATATGTTTGGGGACTGGAAATATTTACTTGACTTTTTTCCAATTCATAACCAAACTGTGATAATTATTGATGTTTTATAAACAAATTTGTATTCTGTATTTTATCATTATATTTGTTTTATGTACAAATGTTTATTTAATCTTGTTACAATGTTATTTTGACAATTATGAGCCTTCACTTTGAAATGTCATTGTTACGTACAATGTCAGTGGCACTTTTTTTTTCGTTCACCAGACACTTCTTCCTAATGCTTGAGCGCAATTAGCCTAGGGATGAGGTTAGTGGCACTTTCCTGACCAGTTTATTTTTTAAGATAAACTTTTTATATTTTTTCCTCAAATGGAATGAGTAATTTTCATAATAAGAAAGTTGTCTCTTTCCTTTTTGAAATATGTGTCACTCCTGTTTTCTCCACATCTACTACAGTATTGTGTGATCAACTACATTCCATTCTCATGTATATTTGTATATACATTACATCTCTCTATCATGCTATATTATCAGTTTGAGACAAAATAAGAATTGATCCAACTGTTTTCAAATATAATTGTAATTGACAGTGTCACATTCAAATTTCTGAGTATATCCTTGGTGTATTTCATGTCTTGCCATCCAATACAGTGATCAAATAAAATGTACATGTAATTGATTATCAAACATGGTAAGAAGGAGCTCCTCGACATTACACTGAATATTGTTGATAATGTATATTGTAGACTTATGGATAATTTAATTGAATGTCCAATTTGTCTATGCTGTGAAAGGATCCCAACTACTCTATTTTGTGAGTGCAAACATTTAGCCTTGCTAACCTATACAGCTATGCAGATACTCTAAAAGGAGAAAATATGTACTGTATAAAATAGTAAGGGTAAAGTGCTTTGTAAAAGTACCACTATGGCAAGTACATACATTTACTGTACCTTCAACTACATTGCATAAATACTACAACAAAGAGAAAATGTGTGTTCTTGCATTTGTGAGTGTCTCACTATGGATTCAATGAGAATATTTTACAACATAGCTGTTTTCACGTTGAACTTAAATTTCACATGTGAAAACATATTTTCACATGTATTAAATTTAGTTTCAGTTTCACGTGAAAATACAAAATGTACATGTGGAATTGCATGTTCATATGAGAAAATCAATCACGTGAAAATCAAATTTGCAGGTTCAAATGTAAGAAAATGCCATGTGAAAATCTCACTTTCACATGTGGAATTGCAGATTCATATGTGGGGTTGAAATATGTTATTGTCCTCACATGTGAAAAGATGGTGTTAACATGTTGCAGTAGCAATGTTTCCACCGGTGGAATTAGGGTGACCACATCTAAAAAGCCCAAATGCGTGACACGGGAACAATTTTGCAGGACATTTGCAGAACAGTGGGCAGAATAAAGTTTTACCATACATTCTCTGGGGGCAGGTTCAAATGGCAACATACACTCAATGGCCAGTTTATTAGGTGCACCACCCCGTTCACGAAAATGGTTTGATCCTACAGTTAGTGAGTGATATAGCCGTGGCTTGCTATATAAAGCAGGCAGACAGGCAGAGGCATTCGGTTACTGTTCGATTGAACGTTAGAATGGGCAAAACGAGTGACCAAGCGACTTTGAGCATGGTATGATCGTTCGTGCCAGGCGCGCCGGTTACAGTATCTCAGAAAGGGCCAGCCTCCTGGGCTTTTCATGCACGACAGAGTCTAGGGTTTACCGATAGCACTTATGGCACTTTTCCCATTGCACTTATCATAAGAGTAGCGGTGTTAACCCCCGGTGTCCTAGCTAAATTCCCAATCTGGCCCTCATACCATCATGGCCACCTAATCATCCCCAGCTTCCAATTGGCTCATTCATCCCCCTTCCACTCCCCTCTAACTGTTCCCCAGGTCATAGATGTAAATGAGAATGTGTTAATAAATATATAAGTGTTCAATAAAAAAGACGACCACACCAGGTTCCACTCCTATCAGCTAAAAACAAGAAGAAGTGGCTCCAGTGGGCTCTTGATCATCAACACTGGACAATTGAGGAGTGGAAAAACATTGCCTGGTCCGACGAATCCCGGTTCCTGTTGTGTCATGCTGATGGCATATTATCTATGCATGGTCACTTTACCCCTACCAAATTAAATCGACTATGTCACTGTTGATGTGGGTGCGTTGAGAGGAGTCAGACGCAGGACGCATAAGCTAAGTCAAACAAGACTTTACTAAATGTACAACCAGTACAAAATAAAGTACCTCTAACGAGGAGGCAAAACGACAACGCAACACAGTGCGTTACAATAACAATTCCAGAGTACTGCACAGGATACCACCAACAGACAGGAAATAAAATAACACACAACTAACGAAAACAACCACAGGAAACTTATAAGGCACATAATCAAGACCAAACGGACACAGGTGTAACAGACAGACCAAACCAAACGAACATCGAAACATTCAACGGTGGCAGCTAGTACTCCGGGGACGACGAACGCCGAAGCCTGCCCGAACAAGGAGGAGCAGCAGCCTCGGCAGATTCCGTGACAGTACCCCCCCCTTGACGCGCGGCTCCAGCCGTGCGCCGACCCCGGCCTCGGGGACGGCCAGGAGGACGCGGACCCGGGCGCGTGGGATGACCACGGTGGAACTCAGTCAGGAGGGATGGATCTAGGATGTCCCTCCTAGGCACCCAGCACCGTTCCTCCGGGCCGTACCCCTCCCACTCCACGAGATACTGGAGACCTCTCATCCGGCTTCTCGAGTCCAAGATGGTCCGGACCCTGTACGCCGGAGCCCCCTCGATGTCCAATGGGGGCGGAGGGGTCTCTCCTATCTCATCTTCTTGGAGTGGACCAGCTACCACCGGCCTGAGAAGAGACACATGCAACGAGGGGTTAATATTCTTATAATCAATAGGCAGTTGTAACCTGTAACACACCTCGTTCAATCTTCTCAGGACTTTAAAAGGCCCCACAAACCGCCGACCCAGCTTCCGGCAGGGCAGGCGGAGGGGCAGGTTTCGAGTCGAGAGCCAGACTCGATCTCCCGGTGCGTATACCGGTCCCTCACTGCGGTGGCGATCGGCGCTCGCCTTCTGTCGACGGATGGCCCGCTGCAAATGGACATGTGCAGCATCCCACGTCTCCTCCGAGCGCCGAATCCACTCATCCACCGCAGGAGCCTCGATCTGGCTCTCGTGCCATGGTGCCAGAACCGGCTGATACCCTAAAACACACTGGAAAGGTGTTAGATTGGTGGAGGAGTGGTGGAGAGAGTTCTGTGCCATCTCTGCCCAGGGGATATACCTTGACCACTCCTCCGGCCGGCCCTGGCAATAGGACCTCAGAAACCTACCCACATCCTGGTTGACTCGTTCTACCTGCCCATTGCTCTCTGGGTGGTAACCCGAGGTAAGGCTCACCGAGACCCCCAAGCATTCCATGAAAGCCCCCCAGACTCTGGAGGTGAACTGGGGACCTCGGTCAGACACTATATCCTCGGGAACCCCATAGTGCCGGAAAACGTGGGTAAATAGGGCCTCAGCGGTCTGTAGGGCAGTAGGGAGACCCGGCATTGGGAGGAGACGACAAGCCTTGGAAAACCGATCCACAACGACCAAAATGGTGGTATTCCCCTGGGAGGGGGGAAGGTCGGTCACAAAATCCACCGAGAGGTGGGACCATGGTCGTTGTGGACGGGCAGGGGATGTAACTTTCCCCTGGGCAGGTGTCTAGGCGCCTTACACTAGGCGCACACTGAGCAGGAGGAGACATAAACTCTCACATCCATAGCTAACGTTGGCCACCAGTATTTCACGCTAAGGCAGTGCACTGTCCGGCCAATACCTGGATGTCCAGAGGAGGGTGATGTATGAGCCCAATAAATAAGTCGGTCACGAACCTCGAGCGGAACGTACGTCCGCCCCACAGGACACTCGGGGGGACTAGGGTCGGCACGTAACGCCCTCTCGATCTCCGTATCGACCTCCCACACTACCGGAGCCACCAGACAAGACTCCGGCAGTATGGGAGTGGGCTCAATGGACCTCTCCTCTGTGTCATACCGCCGGGACAGGGCGTCTGCCTTACCGTTCTGGGACTCTGGGATGTACGTGATCTTAAAAACAAACCGGGTTAGGAACATGTTCCACCTAGCCTGACGAGGGTTTAGTCTCCTAGCTGCCCGGATGTACTCCAGGTTACGGTGGTCAGTCAGAATGAGGAAAGGGTGTTGAGCCCCCTCAAGCCAATGCCTCCACACCTTTAGGGCCAGAACCACGGCTAACAACTCCCTGTCCCCTACGTCATAATTACGCTCCGCCGGGCTGAGCTTCTTGGAATAGAACGCACAGGGGCGGAGTTTAGGTGGCGTGCCGGACCGTTGCGACAGAACCGCCCCAATACCGGCTTCTGACGCGTCCACCTCCACTTGGAATGGTAAAGCGGGATCCGGATGCGCCAGCACCGGAGCCGAAGTGAACAGGTCCTTCAGTTTAACAAATGCCCTGTCCGCTTCAGCTGACCACTGCAAACGCACCGGACCCCCCTTTAGCAGGGAGCTGCCACCTGTCCAAAACCCCGGATAAATCTCTGGTAGTAATTAGCAAAACCCAAAAACTGCTGCACCTCTTTTACAGTGGTTTGAGTTTGCCAATTACGCACGGCCGACACACGGTCAACCTCTATCTTCACACCAGACGCGGACAATCGATAACCCAAGAAGGAGATGGACTCCTGGAAAAACAAGCATTTCTCTGCCTTGACATACAAGTCATGCTCCAACAGCCTCTTCAACACTCTGCGTACCAGGGCTACATGCTCGGCTCGTGTAGAAGAGTACACTAGGATGTCGTCGATGTATACTACCACACCCTGCCCATGCAAGTCCCGGAAAATCTCGTCCACAAAGGATTGAAAGACTGAAGGAGCATTCATTAACCCGTATGGCATGACGAGATATTCGTAATGACCCGAGGTGGTGCTGAATGCTGTTTTCCATTCATCTCCCTCCCTAATGCGCACCAGATTGTACGCGCTCCTGAGATCCAACTTTGTGAAGAACCGCGCTCCGCGTAATGATTCTGTCATAGTCGCAATCAGAGGAAGAGGATAACTGTACTTAACCGTGATCTGATTGATACTACGATAATCAATACACGGGCGCAAACCCCCGTCCTTCTTCTTCACAAAGAAGAAACTCGAGGAAACCGGGGAAGTGGAGGACCGTATGCATCCCTGTTCCAAGGACTCGGCTATGTAAGTCTCCATAGCCGCGGTCTCCTCTTGAGACAGGGGATACACACGGCTCCGCGGAAGTGCCGCTCCTGTTTGGAGATCTATCGCACAATCCCCCTGTCTATGAGGTGGCAACCGTGTTGCCCTAGTTTTGCTGAAAACCAGTGCTAAATCCTCTAATTCAGGGGGAATGTGCATTGCGGACACTTGGTTCGGACTCTCCACCGATGTTGCCCCTATGTGCTGTGACTTCTCTAATCAACCCCGACCCCAGCGGCCGGCTGTCTAGAGCATGAACTGGGAAAGGGGGTTCCACCGGCCGAAGGGGAATTCCTACCCTAGAACAAAATACACGATCAATAAAATTCCCAGCTGCGCCTGAATCTACTAGCGCCTTATGCTGGGAATGAGGTGCCACCTGTGGAAATCGCACAGGTATACACAGGTGTCCAACAGAGAGCTCTGGGTAAGTGGGGCATCTACTCACCTGAAATGACTCCCCAGTGCGTGACCTGTTGTCCCCTCTCACAGGAGACCCTCCCCAACACCTAGCCGCAGTGTGCCCTCCACGGCCACAGTTGGTGCAGGGGACGGCCCCCCTCGGGTTCTCTCTCCTCCTCTCCCTAGCGCCTGCACCCCCGAGCTCCATGGGAATCGGCTCGGCGGTGCTGGAGGATGGAATGGACGACCCCCATTCGGGACGTCCCGCGGGTAGCCAGCAGGGTGTCGAG